GTTTTAACTGTATACGATACGCGATGGTAGAATTTCAGAGGTGGAGAATCTTTCTGGAGAGAGATCGCTCATCTTTAGCCAGTTAGCATGCTTAGCTTGTTAGCATGTGCAATAATTATTGCCCCTCTGCTCCCTTTTTCTGCCCTCGCCCTGCCTTCTCTCCTGTCCTGTACACGAGCACAACAGGATACGCTGAAATAGTGTTGAATAGATCGTTCCAAGCCACTTTCTCATTTACAGAGCCAGGGTTGTCGGGTTCAGGGCTTCACACAGAGCTGATAGCCAGCCGACTGTGGGGAGATATTCACAGAATGTGTGTATAAGATCTCCACCTTTCAATAAATCAGAGAGAGAGATTCCAGTGAAGGAGTTCAACCGTTCCCAGGACTTGTTCACGAGTCAGAACACAGCAGCTGCAGACCAACAGGACGACTGGAATTGTACTGGTCCGTCGTGGTGAGCCACAAAGCAAAGCTCTCAGTTTACCAGTCAATCAACTGGAAGTTCCTTTCGTCACCAGCGGTCATGAACTGCGGGTGGTGACCAAAAGAACAAGATCGCGGAAACAAGTGGCTGAAATTAGTTTCCTTCATTGGAAGTCACATTCAAGGACTGGATGAGAGTCAACGCAGTAGGACGGAGTTCAGATTAAAAGAAAAAGCCAGCTGAGGTGGTCCGGACACCTCCAGAGGGAGGCCAGCCCAACTGGGTGAAGACCACAGGACAGACCAGGACTATCTAGGAACGCCTTGAAATCCCCAAACAGGACTGAAGGAAGTGGCTGGAAAGTGGAACACCTGGGCTACTTTGCTTTGACTGCTGCCTCCGATTCTGAATAAGCTGCTCTGGATAATGAAAGCGACATAATCAATTAATTACATCATCTATAAAACGCCAGAAAACTAGTTTAAATACAATTACTACCTGACTATGAGTTCAAAACCTCGAGATAATATAGTATGATCCTGTATGACAGATAAAAGCCTCGGAGAAGGTGGAACAAGCAACTGGTTTGCATTTTTCTTTTTGTCTTTTGCTTCAAGAAACGACTAAAACGTCCATCATCAGTTATCATTTAAACCAGAGCTACAACACATCTGAGCCTGTTTCACACAGATGCACATTTTTATAGATACTAAGAGGATTTCTATTTTTTTTTTGCATCCCAATAAAATATATTTTTACACGATTTTCTCTGGAGTGTTACAGTAAATTAAATAAAATAAAAACAAAGCTGCTGCGAACCTGTTCCACCCAGCGGAGCACGAGCGGGCACCAATTCAACTCTTGCTTGCTGGTGCACGAGATTTCTGAAAACATCATGCTGTCTTCCCGAGAATTGGCCAGAATCGCTCGCAGAGGGGCTGGATTCAATTAGAAATGTTTGTGTCCTTTGTCAAGCAATGCCATATGGCTGGAGACAGTGTGAGCACTTTGTGGGGGCTGCTGCGCTGCGAACAATAGATCGACCACTGAGACACACTGTGCCACCGAGGAGAAACATGCGAGGCCCGAGACCGAGCAAACCAGCATTCAATTTAAACAAAAAAGAATCATTTATATTGTGGCAGAGCATACACAGCAGATAAAACATGATTTATTTTTCACAGTCTCTTCTGGCATCAAGCGGCAAACCAACAGGCCTCGCCGGGCCGCCAATTATCAGCTCGGCCAACAATACCTGGTTTTGCCTCCTTCTGCAGGAGGAGGAGGAGCAGCGGAGGACCTCAGGGGGACTCTCGGTTTGAGGATGGACACGGGGAAGCAGTCGACCACAGGGATGGAGTAAACTCTCTGGACCACCACCTCCACATCCTGCTCCACAGAACCGGCCTGGCCCAGTCCCTCGATGGCTTCTAGGAGAGAGACGCAGCGTCTCGTCAACGCTGCCGAACTCCCGAAAGTGCAGAGAGCATCAGAGGCAGCAACCTGTGAGAGAAAAGAAACAGCAACACGATATTCAAAACAGCTTTTCCACTTTCACTGGTTTCATGGTCTCAGATCTGAATAACGGCTGGATATCTTATTTAGGTAATATCACAGAAGACTATCTGAGTTATGGACCGCTGGTTGCATAAAACGATTCATTTAAAGACGTCAGCTTGGACCTGGAAATAAGTGGGAGGCTTTTTTTGTTATTTTTATTTAAGAGCATTTAGTATTTCACTGCTGCTGATGGCTGTGACACAAGTTTTGTTGTATTTTGCACAATGACAATAAAGCCTCTTTCCATATAATAGACAAAACAATATATATGAATGAAGAAAATAACCAACAGAGCAATAAATAGAGAGTAGCAGGAACAGCTCAGTACTCGGCTTAAACCAGAGACAAACAGTGAGTTCTGGATTGAACAGGTTAGTTTATGGAAACATCATGACAGTATGGAGTAGTGAGAGCGCCAGATTACAAAAAGAAATCAATAGAACAATAATAATATAAAATTGGAAATAAAAAGAATAAATAAAATTTAAAATAAATAATGTGGCAAAATAAAGCAATATTAATCAAAAATGAATCCATAAAAGGCTAATAAACGTAGACATATAGAGACAAATAATTAAAATAACTTATTTTTGAAATTATTTATTTTTATTTATATTTATTATTTGTAATTTTTTTATCTGTTATTGCTATTATTTTAATTTTTTTTTTTTTTTTAACAATTTATAATGACTTTCCTACTGCGCAAATTTTTCTGCGCATATTTCCTGTGCTTTTAAAGCAACATTATAATGTTATAATGCCTCCCTATCAGGTTTCATTTATTAATATATAGATTTAAAAAAAGAAAAAAAGAAAAAAGAAAAAATTACCAGCCACAATTTTCCACAGCCAAATAATTTAGCTAATTTTGTCTGATTAACTGTGGAAAACAAACACAGAAATAAATAGAGAAACAGCAATTATTCACAGGTGTGAAGCTGGAATTATAATGTTTGTCTTCCTTTGCACCAAAAGGATCGTCAGAATAATTGATTATTCACTTTCCGTAGATTGACTTATTGACTAAATATTGGTTCAGCTCTACATCATAATGGAAGCTGACCATTACAACCATACAGCCACAACATTAAAACCACTGACAGGTGAATAACGTTGGTCTTCACGTTAAAATAGAAGTTTCTGCTGGAAAACTGCGAGTCCTGGAAATATTGTGGACGTTACTTTGACATATAAATATAGTTGCAGAATAACATTTCAGCACTATGCTGATATCATATGATCGCTCAGAGAAAAAGTTAGAAGCGATAAATAATCCTCCTCTCAGATTCATTCACATCAGCTGCTGTGAGGTCAACCGTTTAACTTCTGATAACAGATGCAGAGAGAGTCTTATTCCTGAAGACGGCGGGCACAACAGCAGGTCAGCTGCATTTAAAGCTACAGAAGGGCCCCATGTTTTGTAGGAAATGCCTCAAAAGCTGCCGGACTCATTTGGGAATTCACACATATTTCACACATGTAAATTCATCAGCTATTATTTTTTCCACAGCAGAAGTCAAACGACAGACGTTCTCGGTGACTGATGTGGGCTGGAGGCTCCACGCAGACTGTTTATTATTCTTTTTTCTGAAGCGAACATGATTGAATCTGTGACACTAACCGCTGCCTGTAAAGTTGCACCTGTGATTTCATAAATCAAACACAATATTGACACAAGCCGCCCATTGTTTCATGTCTATGAATCTGAGCAGGATCTTATGGCAGGCAGCCCAACCATGGCGCACACAACATGCTGGAGCTGTCATTACTTGCTTATCTGCTGCTTTCTCTTGACTGATGGCATTTTTCTGTCTCGCAGTAACCGAAATTGACTTTAGGAGGCATGATGGGGTTTGTTTAATGTCCTATATTGCCAATAACGTATAGCAACAACCCCTGGGAGGTAAATGTGAGTCAGCTGATGTGGATGACACTGAAGCGTACACACCTGCTTGGCGCTGCTCTCGTCTGTGGTCCTGCATACCTCCAGCAGTCCAAATATTCTACCCAAATAGTACGGCATGCGCTTCTGTGCAGAGAGCCGGCCTCTGGGAAAGAACTCGCCGGCCCGTTTGGAAGCAGAGTGGACTTTCTGGCTGAAGTGTGTGTTCAGAATAATAGAGCAGCTAAAGCCCTCGATGGACAGACTCTGCCTGCGAAGAGATGAAGTTCATCAGCGTTAGATTCAAGATGCAGCACCTGTTGCCGTGCTTTCTTTACACACTTCGACTCTTGCCTGTTCTCACGGCCAGGACTGGGGTTTTGGAATTCAATTCATCATGAAATTAAACATCTGTAAAAAGGTGTTGGGCAATGATAAACAGCTTGTGGTAGCAGATGCAAAAACTCTTGATTTCAAAATAAATGGAATAGGCTGTTGCACAAACAGCTCGTTTGAATGTCAAACTCAGATAAGGTACCAGACACCTCCGCAGGTCTGCTCACCATGTACCACCCAGCACAGAGCACAAGTTCAAATAAAACTCCTCCACGGCGAGCAAAGAAGAACACAACGGATGCATGCGTCCTCTTTAACTCAGGGGGGGAAAAGACAAATTTTCTGTGTAATTGAGGTTTCTGAGAGGCTTGACAACACTTTCCAATCGTGACGTCATCTGTGGAAAAAAAAAAAACACTTCAACGCTCGTCAAAGACTCAGAGATTTCTGGTGAAAAATACCAAGTCAAAGTGTGCGTATGTGTGATCTGAAATGGTCTGGATCTAATCTTTAAATGTTTACCGTTACCCGCTTAGATTTCCCTCATCTGAGTGCCAAGTAGGAGACGCTGAACTTCTCCTACTTCAAACCTTGGGAAAACATTTCTGGTCAAGCGTTTAAGGTCACTGAGGTAAATCGTACACACCTGAGCGGCATCGAGTGTGAGAATAAAAGATGCCAGATAATTATACAGCGCGCTGTTTGTGGTGAGTTTGAATAACGACTTAATTTCTTCCACATGTAACGAGGATAATGGTGTGATGATGGCTTATCGCTGAGTCAGAGCCGAGCGCGCTCTGTGACTGGAATCGGCGTACTTGTCGCGGCTTGTCTCAGGTCGGCGGTGATGGTTGAAACCGAGAAAGTAAACATACAGACAAATGGGGGGAAAACAATTTGTTTGCACGTAGAATAAAAGCAGGGTGAGAAATATTTGGAGACCGCATTATTGTGCAGTTGTCAGTGTTCAGAATGAAACTAATGTGAGCTGAGCGCTGATCATAAAGTTGTTCCAGAGAGGTGATGATCTGATTTACGGTCCTTTTAGAGGCTGTAGTTTTAGCAGTTATTATAGCAGGTGGTGCTTCTAGCATTTACTCCACCCATATGTATACACATTTTCTCAACAACCACTTTTATATTATTAGACTTTTTTAAACAGGAAACAGGAAAATGCACAGATTTCTGTCAAATAAGGTAAACTCTTTGCCTCTACAGATCAATAGCGCTCACTGTTGGGCGTAGTCACACCCCAAAGGCCCACTCTGGGCTAGGAAAAATCCTGAATAGGGATCATTATTATTATTATTATTATCAACAATAATTACCTTCTGTCTATCTGTGTTCTATCTTATAATTAGAGCTACATCAACACAACTTCTTTTTTTTTTTGGTCACCATCTCAAGGAAAATAAAACGTAATTACACATGCGACGGTACGTGCAGTTCCTGGCATTCCTTCCGTCTCTCGTACTTTATGTAGTCGAGCAGGACTAATACCAACAGTATTGTGTGTTTGTAGACGCTCGCGGGCGCTTTGATGATTCACCACCAGTCAATCACAGTAAATCTGCCAATATTCTGACTTGTCATTTATCAAAAGAAGCGTTTACAACATTTGAAAACGATGAATTGTCCTCACCTGTGCTGTGTCATATTATGAAACGAAAGCTTGTGTGCACTTTTTTCTGAGATATTATTTTCTTGTTTTGATGTATTTGTTTAAAAAAAAAAGTAATAAATAATGAAAATGATTGCAGATTTTTTGTAGTTCTTACTGTGGAAACTTGTGAAAATTAGTGGTGGAAAGCAGCATTAATATACATTTAATGCAGTAACAATAAGTCACTTAAAGCAGTTAAAATATGACCAACTTCAACCAGCTATCAAAACAAAGTTCCACCTACATGTTTATTTTTATTATTATTCCCTTTTTTTCAATGTGATTTTGCAGCAAAGTAGATTTCTAAATGATCAAACATGCCTGAGTATTTATACTTTAAACACCTTAAACATGTCTGTTGTTAATATTCTGTGAAACTTTGAAGGCAGGTCTACAAGTTTAAACTTTAAATATACATCTTGTAGTATTTATATTGCCTGTTTAACACACCTCTAACACGGCTGCTGTATTTAGTCGAACGTGACTTCTCTCGCTTGTGAAAAAAAAAAAAACAACAACCCCAAAACAAGCACTCGTGCTCTGATTAAGCCAGATAGCGATGTTTATCAGACCATCATCTGTGCAGAGATCATTAATCAGTAAGAGCCATACTCTAATCTTAGCAGAGCGGAACGTACTGTTCATGAGAACGAGAACAACACCCATGCAGGAAGTGTGACCCAATTGTGAACAGGTGAGTGGGCAGCTGTCATCATCAGACAGGTAGCCGCCGTTAAGGAGTGGCCCGGCTGCTGGCGTCACAGCTTGTAAGTGAATAACTGCTGCAGGTATTTCCGCTCACGCCTCGGCCCACTCACAACAAGGCGTGGGAGGTGGGAGGAGCCAACCCACTCGCTGCAGGAATCATGGGGGTGTTTAGCCCCTAAAGGATCGCACCGGAAACTGATAAGAGGAATTTTACCAGACGAGATGATCCTCTAAATTCTGTGTTTTTCCACTTTGGTCCGTCCCGTAGCTGTAAAAAGCTGAATTGAAGCGAGCATCTCTTCAGGGAATATTAGGCTTGTCGTCAGCTTTTCTTGGCTCTCAGAGCAAGAGGAGTTTTATTGAATTGGAATAAATAATTGATTTAAAATGGAAACCAAATGCTCTGCAAAGTTTTCAAAGTCATTTACAGGAAGGAGGAAGATTTTAGGGATGCATGTTCGCTAGAAAAATATTCTTTGAAAGAGTAACGGAGGGTGCACGGCGGGCTCTGCTCTATCTCGTGATTTCAGGAATAGAATGTAGCAGGAAAGGAGAGGTGCTAAAGCCAGAGATACTCTCAAAGCGCCATATGTTTTCAATCTCAGCCCTCTGGCTCCCTCCACTCTCTACTCCCAAACGCTCCAGAAAATAATCCTACTGTGTTTTTTCCCCGGCTTGCTGGAAATGACCTAACTACTGCCAGGAAGAGGAATGTGAAGCATTCCCTGGAGCTGTTTGTGACGTCAGAGCGCTGAGGAGGCCCCTACGCTTCCGCCAGCCTGGATATTCCAGAGCACACTCAACCTAAACTCCCAACAGCTGGAGTCAACTGCCGCCTCGCTCCAACTCCAAAACAATCCCGAAAACACCCCCGCCCCCCGACCCCACCGGGCGAGGAGCTGCTCCTCACATCTGGGCCGTCAGCGCTCACTATTGGGAGCTGAGAGCAGCAACGTCTTACACTTAAAAACACACACAATTAGAAGTTTTTAAAAGTATAACATACAGCGTATATTCATGTGCAGCAACCTGGCTTTTGGATCGCCTCCTCAGCGTTACGAGCTCCGGTTACTCTCTGTCCTGAACATAGTGTGTCAGCCTTGTGCTGCCTAACTCATGTCTTCTTCTGTGGAATTCTTGATTCGTGGCCAAGAGATGATCTGAAGAAATGAAAGTGAAGGAAATCCAAGAAATGGCTTTACCGGCAAATATAACTCATGAAATGTGTCACCCTCCCTATTTGCAGTGCTATTTCAGATCAAGATAAAATGTTCTAGCTCAAATAGTTTTTATTCTTATTATATCAGAAACAATCTCTTTGTCAATCGACAGAAAGGAATTATTGATGATTTCTCCCTTCATACCGTTCATACCATCGTAAACTGAATATATGTGGCCTTTTGACTGCGTGTCGGTCATAAAAAAGCACTGAGAACATGACTTTATTAGACTTCAGGGAATCGTGACGTGCATTTCTCTCCAACAGGCCCACGTAATAATCAAATTAGAGAGTAATGAAAGCTGGCGTCCTAATTCTTACCAAAGCTTGCAGGTCATCTCCAATTGCAGCATATACCGCCACAGTTGACAAATGATCCTTATTACATCCTGTTACTGCTAATAAAGTCATGCTTTCCTGCGGTTAGGGTTTTCTAGCTGTCAATTTCAAACCTCTGCTGCACCAAATGTCCAACTTAAAGTGCTCAACACAAAAGCAGCAAAAGGTGATTTTCGTCTAAAGATTCCCCAAAAACATGTAAAAAATAGACTTTGTGTCTGATGTGTCATCCAAGACGATCCATTACCAAACTAAAAATAAGAGCACACCTGCTCCTTTCTTTACTGAAATTAACACCAAGACTAGAACCTCCTGTTTCTCTGAATGGTCAATTCTCAGTTTGCTGGAGTTTCCAAGTTTCCACATCACACCTCTGTGAGTTGCTTCAAACTGGATGTGATTGTCCTGTATGTAAACTAACCCGAGGAGCAGAGGTGACCACAGCCAACCGTGCTGGTCGCCGCCGCTGTCCTCAGAGCTGCGCTGCAGACTGGAGGGAAATCTCTGTCCGTGTTCACCTGTTAATACTTTGCAGCTTCGACCTGAATGTGTGTGGTTTGGAGTTCAGTTTCACTCCTGTGTCTCTTGTTGTCTACATTCAGATATTAACCTGATTTTGCACTCTGCTGATTGTTTTTTAGGGCAGCATGGTAATGCAGTGGTTAGCGCGCGAACACACACAGTGTCGCCTCACAGCTCAGAGGTCCTGGTTCGAATCTCGGCCCGGGTTCTTTCTGCGTGGAGTTTGCATGTTGTCCGTGTGTCTACGTGGGTTCTCTCCGGGTTCTCCGGCTTCCTCTCAGTCCAAAGACATGCTGAGGTTAATTGGTGATTCCTAATAGTCTGTAGGTGTGAATGTGAGTGTGCCTGGTTGTGTGTCCAGGGTGTCCCCTGCCTTCACCCTGAGTCAGCTGGGATAGACTCCAGCCCCCCCGCGACCCTAGTGAGGATTAAGCGGTGTATAGATAATGAATGGATGGATGATTGTTTTTTAGGGCAGCATGGTAGTGCAGTGGTTAGCACACACACACACAGCGTCGCCTCACAGCTCAGAGGTCCTGGTTCAAATCTCGGCCTGGGTTCTTTCTGCATGGAGTTTGCATGTTGTCCGTGTGTCTACATGGGTTCTCTCAAGGTTCTCCGGCTTCCTCTCACAGTCCAAAAACATGCTGAGGTTAATTGGTGATTCTTAATAGTCTGTAGGTGAGTGTGCCTGGTTGTGTGTAGCCCTATGTGTCCAGGGTGTCCCCTGCCTTCACCCCGAGTCAGCTGGGATGGACTCCAGCGTCCTCCCGACCCTACCGAGGACTAAGCGGTGTATATGCGTCACCACTGATGCAAACACTTTCCATATTTGTTTCTAAGCACTACGAACTTTCCAAACCCAAATCAGCTGGATGCTTTTTTTTTTTACAGCTGAAGTTCTAGAAAATTTAAGAGTTAGACAAACTTCAGATAAACAACTTTACGTTTCTATACGGCGCAGTGAAAAAAACACTCCCAGTGACCCGGTGTGACTTGACTGCTCACGGCTGTTCATAGTACAGCACAATTACTCCCCTCCCCAGAGTGGAAAAACCCTAAAAACTCTGACTTTAAGTAAGTACAGAGACGCTTTCCTCTGCAGCAGATGAAAGTCGTTTCTATTAAACTCTGCACATACGTCATTCTGCACATCGAAGGCCAAACAATAAGCAAACCCCATATCTGAGCGGAGAGGCACGTCGGAGTGTGACATCCTCTCACCATGGCGGGTGTATGTGGATGATATCTCTGGCTGCAGGAATCAGCTGGGCTGCTGTCTCTCTGTTGAATAACACCAACACGCGAGCTCTCTCCTCAGAGACCGGGTTACTGTGTTGGTGGCCGTCTCCGGGGGGCTGGCGTTGCTCGCAGTGCGCTAGTTGCATGCTGCACTCCTCGTGAACCTCCAGCACCTCCAGCACCAGCACGCCAGGCCTGTCCACTGGAGAGCAGAGCAACAACAACACAGATGTTGAGTGTGTGTGTGTGTGTTGGGGTGTGTGTGTCTGCGTACAGATTGTACTCCTGCTCTCACGGACTCTCGCTCTCACTGGGACTCATTATGCATTATGAGAGTAGTTCACTTTTAGTATCAGAACAATTCGCACTGCATAACTGTAAAGCCCTCAGTGACTCAATATGAATCGCACTCAATCCCACTGGGCGACTTTGCGAATGTTTGGAATTTTACCACGATGCTGACTGTGCTGTTGGCCTGGACAATAAAGTGCACAGAGATAATTAAGATGAGCAAATCACAAACAATGCCTCGCAGCTATAAATCAAACCGAGATAAGACGGCGACTTGGCTGCGTTTACACTCTGTGTGTAAACTTGATTGCCCTGAATTGTGAAAATTGCAGCACAAGTGGGAAGAGTCAATGCACTTCATTGTGTACGTAAGTTGGCCGGAGGGGGTTTTGATAAGAGTAAATCACATCGAGGAGATGGCTGGAGAGCTATTAAGTTTTAACATGCACTTGTCCAAACATGAACGTTAAGTGCTTCACTTGTGTTCTTTGCGTTTAGGTCCCAAACTGCTAAACAATCAAAATAACCCCCGGCAGCAGGTCTGAGATAGTCGCGCTTTTGACCTACAATGATAAGTCGTAGGCCGAGCAGCGTGTGGGGAAACAATTCAAGGTCTCCTGCATTTGTGAGCCTGTTTACATCACACAGCAAAACTATTACAGCAAAGATAAACAGGTGTCTCATTACAGCACGACGGTATTATTAAGCACGTGCAAGGCAGCGCGACGGAAGAACAAACTTCTCCTGAAAAGTTTTATTATGCGGTATGTTATACGTTTTTGTATTTTAAAAATCTTCGGTACAAAACAGAATTAAAAAAAGAAGCATCAGATGTTGATTAGACTTTAAAATGAGGTAAAGTCAGAAAACACTTCAACACTTTTACCCTTCGCTCAACTGTTTACGCTAATCGAAACATCGACTGACCCCAAACTCTGAACTGGATCAGGTGGGTGTTTTGTTGTTTTTCCATAATCAACTGTCACTTTCAAGCCACTGCTCGTGTCCTCTCATGAGGAGATATTCAACGTCGAGAGAACGCAAGTGGTTTGGTACACCACGGAAAGGAAAAAAGAAAAAACAAGAACTAGGCAAGCAGTTTCCTGTCACCTACATTTCGAGTTCACAGTTCAGAGCCACAGTGATCAACCTTCAGCCAGCACTTCCTCAGCGTGGCCCCTCCATACAATCGTGAGCAAAATCACGCCTGCTCAGAGAGCAGCGGGCCTCTTCCCACTCACAAATCTAAGCTCGTCGTTAAACTTAAACGATGATTCGAGGAAGTATGTGATCCTGATGTAATCTCATACACAGGGTTTGTGTGCCACTGATCACCTGCTGTTGCTGCTGCTGCTGAGGAGCCAGAGTTGGACTGGTGCTTCCAGAAGCTGACAGCTGACCTTTGTCTGCACTGAAGTCGACACAGCCTCTCTGCCAGACCTCCACTTGGAAACAAACACACACAGAGGTAGATGATGTCATGTGATAAACTTAAACAGAGCACACGACGTAACCAACGCACACGCAGAGCTGTTTATTTCAAAGAGCAATAAAAGAGTTTCTGATGCAAACAACAAGCCGTCGCAGACTGCAGATCGCCCATCTGTCAGATTCGGTGGGCTTGAAGAAGGCAAACGACATTTAGCACCCACGTTGTGATACCAGGTGTCCCTTTCATCATGAGTTCTGCTGTGGAAACATTGCAACCCAAGTTCGACTATCACCTGGCAGAAAGCGATACGTCTTGTGTTTGCTCTTGTTGTGATGCAACACACTATAAACACATATATAAACATACAGCTGTAATTTTAATTATAATAATAAATCTAATAATCAGTATTGGTTGTGTGGGAGATGTTGATTCTGCTTTATGAGTCTACCTTTACCCTCATATGAAGCCTCTGAATAGTATCAGAAACTCGTATTTGTGGCGTCGTAAGAGTTGGAAAAAATAAAAACAACACAGAATCTTTGCACGTGCAATGACACTTTTAAGAACACAATTCAAACCTCTGAAACTTTCTCTTCTTCTTGGCGGAGTCCTCAGGAGTCTTGGACTGTCTGTCGATGGGTTTCTGAGGCGTCTGCAGCATCGCCTGAGCGGATCTCACCCAGTCGCTCACTGACCTTTTGCTGCCCTCGCCGGTTTGTGGAGGAAAGATCTCAGAGTCCAGTCTGCTCGAGGTCAATGTGCTGCCAACATCCTCCCCATCAGACACATAACCTGAGATCTCTGGCTCCTCTACCTGGGAACAGAGTGGAAACCATCGATAATTTCACTGTGGGAAAATGGCCTTTTATTGTAATGTGTCACTCTTGAATTAACATGTTTAAACACAGTTGTATATGAGGATATTAAATGCTTGAACTGGTTCAGCCATTAGTAAATAAAGATGAGATTTTTATTAAAATTAAATCGATAACTTCCATCATGCAGTGGGTGGACACAGCGCACTGACAGGTTGATTAATTCACCAGATACAGTAACAAAACAATCTTTTTTGCTGTATCACTGCTCACTACACCTGAGGCAATCAGTTCTCATGGAAAAATCCACAAGAAACCTGAGTTCCTGTCATGTGCAGACAAGACCAGCATACCAGGCCCTGACAGCCAATGTGCTCTCTTATTTGAATCAACTTGACCCTGCTAGGCAGGGTGCCAGCAGACGTCACACTCTAACCAGCTACAGAGTAAAAAGGAACACTATGTTCCTGGCTCCGGCTCAAAAATGTTTTCACCCAGCACTCAAAGCATTGTAAGTACACAGCTCCACGCAGCCTCATCCACCAGCAAGTTTTCCTGAACAAACAGTAGTAAAACCACGTTTATAGTCCTGCTGCAACTCTGATGTGGCGGAGGCTGTTGACCCTTTAAGCGCTGATGTTGGGGGAGTCACACACTCCGTCTGGGGAGCGGCCATCCTCTTTGGCCTTGAAATGCAAAGTCGCCTTCACAGCTCCGCCTGTCCACTTTCGGCGGCTAGTACAATAACATAGAAGTCTGGCAGGCGGCCATGCATTATCTGGAGTAATAAACTTTGCCTTCGATTTGGATCTTCCCCCTCCTCTGTATCCTGTTAGATCCGGTTTAATTGGCAGTGTGTAAGCGAGCTTTCTGGACAGCAAATAAAAAAATAAAAAAAAGTCCACTTTGGTTTGCACATTCTGCTGTTCTAATTAAATCAACATTTACTGTACACATAATAAACTGAAATATAATGATGATTAGATGTGTGTAATAAATCCAAAATGCTATTCCAAATATGCACTAATCAACCTGTCAAAACCACCACATGCATAAATTCTAGCGATTCTATATTTTTTTTAAAAACTAGGACCCTCTAGGTTCTGTCTTTCTAGCAGGCCTCTGACCACAAGCCTGCTGTTAGGTGATCTTAAATCTTGTTTGACCTCAGAGAGCTGATAGCAGCAAATTAAAGTGTGACAAGAGGAAGTAGCTGGGTCTGCGGGAGTGATGCTCATCTGTCGACAGGCTTCCTCTTGACATACAGCCTCCAAACTCATGAGCTTCATCACAAGTTACTGCTTACTTCATCCGCTGTTGGACTCACTGAGTATAATTAGTACATACAGTAATACAATAAAGGATGACTCACATGAGGACCGCCGTTAACCGACAGCCATCCTGTTCAAGGACACTCTCGTAAACCGCTATCTAGATCACCATATTACCTCAGTAATTTGGCCACATCCACCTGATCCAATTAGGTGCTGTAATGTGTGCTGTAACACCTGTGTGTGTGGTCTTGAACCTGAGCACAACACCTTCACCACTCCTTGTACATTCTCTCCATGCCAGCCCTTCCTTTGACAAACACTGCTTGTGAATGACTTCTCAGAAGGAACAGAGTCAATACAACGCACACAGGAGGGGTCCACAATCAGAACCGCTTCAGTGATAACGCCACTGCACATGAAACTGAATTCGCGTTTCGTTACATCATCATTACTGATTGTTCTGCTGATTATTTGACATAAACGAACAGCTTTCATCTCAAAAACACTCCAAGCTTCAGAAATATTGTATTTACTTCAATGGGAGACAAAAAGAACCACATCTGTGAACCAAGAAGTCACTCAATATTCATTTGTTAGCCTTGCAGAGCTCTGATTTCTGTGCATAACTGCAGTAAACTATTTAATTCTTTGCATGTATGTGTTTCAGAGCATCAAATGCAACTACTGTCATGTTTAAACTAGTTTCATATTATTGCATGCGTTTGCCACGGCAGTAATATCTGCTTCATTGCTACCTCAGCTTGTGAACTTTGACAGAACATAACCTGACTCTAGAAAGTGCTAGTTTGAGCCCGTCAGGCCTTTTCAGGACATCAGAGCAGACTGCGACACTCCACCTAGTGGCGTAATGACCAAACATACAATCACAACAAATTAAATCCAAACACTAAAACGTACATTGACATATGGAGACTTCAAATCAATACCGTAAATATCACCTTTCACTCTAACACCAGCTTTCGTGCAGCGTACGCTACAGCTGCAGGCAGGTTGAACCGACGCCGTGAGCTGTCAGATGTCTCAGGAAAAGTATAGACGCTCGCTTATGTTTGCTCTTTAGATAACTGCAAGCACTCAACAGTTAAAGCAGGTAATGCATTGGATTAAATCAGCCAGACGGAGCTTAAGAAGGCACACAGCCCCACCTAGTGTCCCTTAATCCAAATTACAGCCGTTAGCAGTGTGGTCTTGCAGACACACACCTTTGCAGACATTTTGACATGTCACTGCAGGAAAAGCAAAGGTGGAGTTACTAACGGTAATGATGACTCAGCTCCGTTAGGCGTCCCGGTAAGTCGTGACTTTGAACCAGCATGCACGATGGCAGGAGCTGCTCCGATAGCAGGCAGCCGCCAGCGACACACCTGTTCTTTCCTGAGTGTGTGTCACTGTACCAGTCCAACACACCCGCTGCTTGCACGTGCACAGACGCTGGCTTTACACTGCTGTTGTTTTAATAAGGATTATCGGCATACAAATGATTCACTCACGTTCGCAGATTGAAGAGGGAAGTCCTCCTGCTTGTGATCGGAGGATTCGCAGTCTGAGATTTGCTGCCCACTGTCCTTCTCAGCATCTTCCTCGGGCTCATCCAGATCGCTGTCTGTGTCTATAACAGGAAGGTCATCTGAAGCAAGCGAGAGGGAAAGAAACGAGCTTCTCAGGCTGCTAAGTGCACCTTAAAGTGAATGGAGATTGTATGTTTTTACCTTTATCGTCGCTCAGCATGCGCAGCGCTCTGGTGTACGACTGAGTGGGAGCCGTGGGTCTCCCTGACCTCTGCTGTGCAACAACACCGGATGGACGGCGCTCCTGGGTCTCGCTGTCGGACCGCTCACTGTCACTGGAGCTCCACGCAATGTGCACTGGGTCCTCGATACGAGCACCGGTCTGCACTGGGGAACACGGACAGAAGAGGATGATACCACGTCAAATAAAGACGGGGCGTCTATTTAAAATAAGAGTGTAATTTAAGATTCTTTGATACTTTGGTTTTGCAGTCTTTTAATTTAAAGACCCCCTAAATAGAAAATCAAGTTCTCTATCTTGTTAACGCATCTATATGTTGTTTTTTAATACAATGAAGGACACATCATCAGCAAAATATGCACTCGACACCATGACTCAGCATTTCTGTCCAAAAACTGCAGCGTAATGACGACAATGTCAGACTTGGGCGGTATTAAACGAACAGAATCAGTGCTGCAAACTTGCAACGCGGGGTTTTCTATACAATCATTATTCTTCACAATGTACTTCAGGTTGTGCAGCTGAATTACTCCAAGATGACAACGTGTCACTGTGTAGTGCTGAGTAGTTTTACAGCAATTACCGGTGAGCCAGTGTGCTCGAGCTGCAGCGAATGTGGAAGGCTGGGTGGAATGTTAAGTCCTGTCTAAACAAGAGACACTGCGCAACAACATTTGTTTCCTATAGAAGTATATTAGCGGCATAATTGGATGAAAATAAGGAAATGTCCATCATAGGAATATTTACACATACGAGGTGTGTCAGAAAAGTTCCAGGACTCGTGTCACTAAAGATATATTTCAAATCCAAACTACAGGTTCGTAGTAATCCCCCTGGAGTCTAACACACTTCCCCAGCCTTCTCTTCACGCCGCCATGCATGCCTGGAAGGATTCTTCCGGGATCCTCTCAGCTCCGTCGTCACAGCCATCTTGATGTCGTCCACGTCTTCAAAACGGGTCTCCTTGATGACCCCCTTGAGCTTGGAGAAGAGGAAGGTTGCTCCAGCACGGTGATGTTCTTCTCAGCCAGGAACTGTGGGATGCTCAGGGCGTTGTGAGCAGGTTGTCATGGTGAAGCAGCTCCACTGGTCCTGCCACATCTCTCGCCTCTTCTGAACGAAGCAAACGCTGCAGGATCTCTTCGTAGACGTGCTGGTTGATCGTCTGAAGGGGAAAACTTGTGACACCAGTCCTGGAACTTTTTCTGACACACCTCGTGATTTTGGATCAGACCTTCAACTCAATTAAATTGTATTTATATGGCACAAATTCACACAGTGAGGTACAGACCTTACGAATTTTAAACAGAACACAACAATCCAAAGTTGCATTGGGATTCGCAAACGGTCAGCAACAGCGGGAAGAATAACAGGGAAGAGGGAAAAAATAAAAAACCTCTGACAGAACCAGGATCGGGGAAGGCAGGGGAGGGTGAGGTGAGGATGAGCAGCAGGAGATGCCAGCTTTGGCATCCATTCTGGTTAGCAGTAAATGTCTAAAAAGCACTGTGTGTTCAAATTATTTTAGCCAAGAAAATTGCTTAATTAGCAAATGCAACCTAAAAAATCTATCAGCATAGCGGCCAACTCTTATAACCACTGTTGGGCAAGATGAATATTTAATAAGTTACCTGCAGCAGGTGACTGAGTCAGCCTTCTTACAGCAGACAGTTTCCTCCCTGATGACTGCAGGTTCTGCAACAAAAACCACCAACAGGGTTGGAACAACATTACAGCAAAGTAGTGGAGCTGTGCGTCAGGATGTGTCCACCTTTATCACCGGAGTCTCCATAAAACTGTCCCCACATTTCTCCCAGCTCTTGGCGGACGACACGGTTGACAGTGTGGATGTCTCCTTTCCAACCTTTTGGAGTCCATCGTCGACATCATCCGGGAAGAAAACGCACTTTATGTCCTTGGAGTACCTTTTACGCTGCCCACAATTAACACAACAGGAACAGAGATCAGCTTTAAAGTTCAGACAAAGTGAACCGTTTTGTGGCTTTAACCAAGTCTGCTCTGATGAAAGTAATAAAAAAGTTCACATACATTCATTTAAAGAGCTAAATTAAAATCAGCAGTGCTTGTTCTGTGGTGTTATTCATAAATAAAGTCTAAGTTTGGTTAACATGACTGGCAGTTAACTCCACTCAGCTGTGGGCGGGCAGAGCCGGATAACACGGGATGCTAAAGCTAACTAGCTAGCACGGTTAGCGTTAACTGGATAGCAAGTTAGCTAGCTAGCTAACTAGCTCCTCAGCAGGATTCTTACCTTTCTGGAAGACATGGAGACAAAAAGTGTTGAAATTCGGCTAATTTAGTTGTTAATGTGCGCGTCCACACAGCGTCGAGCCGAGCCGTGTCCTTCTTTAGCCCATCTTTGTGAGGTCGCCGGTGTTTGCTGCTGCACCAGTCTGCAGATGAAGCTAACAGCAGGACTTGTAGCGCTGTTGCTCAATCCGAGGAGGGGTGTGTTCCTTTGTGGACCAGCGTGGGCCGGAGGCGGGGTGCTTGAACGTCTGCGCCTGTGTGTGGCCTACTTGCATTGATATAGAATGTGCACGTCCAAACTCCTTATCAATCCTCTCCCTCCTTGTATGTATATCTTACAGACTGTATAAAAATACAGAGTTGAATTGAACTTCCTGCCAGACTAGAATTGAGGTATAAACAGGTCAAGGCCCCAAAGCAGCCTGTCAGTGCAGGAATGTTAACATTTAATATTACTAAAATGCAAATCTGCATCCATGTTTCAAGGAGGTGGCTCAATGAGATGCTATTTCCAGAAGATGTGTCACTTTTAGCATTGCTTGATGAGAGCTTTATATTATTATTATTTTGTGTAAATGCTGCCTTATGAAATAAAATGAATGAATGAAAAATACTTTATTTATCCCAGAAGGGAAATTCAATCTTGTAAAAGCTCACTTTTTTTAAATTTTTTTTTTTTAATCAATATAACATATATTATATACAACAATAATAATCATTCAGTCATTCGGATTTGTTTTTTAAGGTGATAAAATATCCTATTATCCTGCATACTGGCTGATTTATGCACCCTTTTATTTTATGGAAAGGGCAGCTCCCTATTTTGACTGGTAATCCTGGACTGTACATCCAATTTTTGGGTGTGAATCCCCTGTATTTCTGGTATGCATAAAGGTACTGGGTACTATGTCTTTGTTGGTTGTAGAAAAAAAGTAGAAAATATAGATATATAGATATATTTAAGAAGTAATTATCTACCCTGATGCAAATACAAGTCACACATTCATTACTCGACATATATACTCAACATACCTAATTGCTCCTTTTGGACTGTTATCTCCATTAGCGTTTTAGAAATGTAGCACAAAAAATAAAAATACTTCCTCAAGTTACTTCACACCACTCCACTTCATAGCGAATTATTCAACTTTTTAAATGACAATTTAACATACCAATAACCTAATGTTACTCATTAACCACCCAACTGTAGATCAAATAGTGAATATTGGCTCCATTTGGTAGAAATGAAAATGCTACTTACATGCTAATGTGGCTAAGAACATATTAACGCTCATAGAACTTACATGAACTTTCATTTAAATATTTTCTACACCGTGGTGTTGGTACCACAGTGCACGCATCTGCATATGAGAGCAGGTATGTTCATTATATCTCATTAAATACTGAGCAAAATGTAAGTCACTTTTTTTCTCTCCAGCTGTTTCACTGTGCAGACAACATCCTGTCTCTGCTCTGAACATGAACAGCACCAGGTTTTGGTTCAGGTCCAGATCACAGCCGATAACTTCCAACGATAACCTCTACTGTTGGACTGGAGTGACATGACAACCTCCCGTGGACTCAAAATGTAATTTTATTACAGCAAATCCATCCGAATCTCCACAACTTTCAAATAGCAGGTTAAACATACAAAAGCTCACTTAACATGTTTGTTTTTTATTAAATATGTAAAAAGCAGGTCAAGTTATTCACAAATAAAATGCATACATGCAACACGTTTTTTGGGGAATGCATAATGAGTGGGACATGAAAAAAAACATTTACCATTCATTAATTATTGACAGTACATGTTTACATTCCTTTTCATTTACACAATAATATATGACTAAAGCATTGTGGTGCACTGCCCAGTTCGATATTAGTAAATGCAATATTAAGAAAGGGTATACGATGTACTTACTGGAATATAGTGTGGCAGATTGCTCAGTGAACTGACTTGTCTCCCTAAGACCTGTTGTTTAAAAAAAAAAACTAACAAAAAAACAACTGAACAGACCACGAGTTCCAGCTGAGGTTGAAAACTTAGAACGCTGCTTCATAATAAGACTAGTCCACGATAACGCTTGTTTCCTTCCCTATGTTTATGGCATACCAAGTAAACCTCTACCACTAACACATTGTTGAGCACACTGATTATCTGAAATCGTGAAATTTGTGAGGACAGCTTCAAACAGTCATAAGTTGGCATTTTTCTACATTTTATTCACAATTCATTGACTGCAATGCAGATTCTTGCACTATTCCTAAGGCTTAATAATAATAAATACGGTGAGGGTCTATGGACAGATTGTCCAGTACAGAGTCAAATGTCAGTGCAACGTATGGAAGGAGGTTAAATAAGAGCTACTATGAGCCCTTCCAGGGCTTTGCTTATTGCATTCTTGTGATTAATATTGTTGATATGCAAAATAAAAAAAAACAAAGTAAAAGGAAAAGGACAAAAGCTGGGAGAATAACACTTGCACTGACAGGTACTGGTTACCTGCCTAAACTTCAGCATGTGATCACATCTACTGTAAGATCTGAATCCAGCCACACAGTCCTCGGAAACTTCTGTGATGGTCTGAGCTTGTCTGCTGGTGGAGGTCGTCGTCACCACAAACCTGCCACAGCAGTTCACCAAAAGTCACAAAAAACATCGAACAGTGAGCAGAGGGATACAAAAAAATAAAAACTGTGATGGTGCTTCTATTCAGGAGGTTGCTTCATGTGCTCAGTCTCGGAGAGAACAAAAATAAACCATGAGGAAAAATTAAAATCCTTTAACAGTTCTCACATATTAAAAAGAGGGGTGTGACCGCGTGGAGGGATGATGGCAGTCAGTATTCATCCTGCTCCTCCTGCTGATCATCTGGTGCCTCCTCATGGGCTTGCTGGTCCTCGTCTTGTCCGTCACCCTCAGCCAGCTCTCCTCGTTCCTGCAGAAAAAAAAAGGGACACTGAGTACAGTTTGAGGCGAGCTCATGTGACTGCACACAAAGACCGACTTCTTATCTTTTTTAACCGCACAATAACTTCCACATGATTTAGCCACCATTAAAAAAAACGGCAACAAGAACAAGCAGAATCCTGTTGAGATCAATCACACGCAGGCTGACCTGGTCGTCTGAGGCATAAAGGACTTCCATTAACCGCTCGACGAACGGGGCGTTTTCCTCGCCCTGCTCCTGGCACAGCAGCTCCACCTCTCGCAGCTTGCTGAAGTAGTAGTCCCGCTCCTTCTCCACGCCTTCCAGTGCCAACTTTAATGTGTTCACCTGGGAAAAAAAAAAAAAAAGTTTAGCTTAGGGATGCACGATATATTAGCGACCACATCCGTATCGGCCAATATTAGCTTTTTCTGATATATCGGTACGATGACGAACTTAATCGATGTGAAAAAACGATTATTATCTAACATGAGCGCCTTCGTCTCTGCATTTGATATTGCTGCTATTTCACAGATGTTTTTACTTAAATGCTTCTGGACGTTAAATATGTTTTAATAAGTTGTACTTTTGTTGCGTAATAAAGAAGTCTATGTGGTCTAATTTGGGCTTCTTCTGAATAGTTTTCTCACTTTGCTTCCTTATACTAATTTTTTGTTGTGAACAAAAACTGAATATCAACATCGGTAATATCGGCGATATCAGAAATCTAAATATCGGTATCGGTCAGAAATCTTAATATCGTGCATCACTAGTTTGGAGGATTGAAGGCATCAGGATCAAATACATAAAACGGTTTCAACTTTGATTACAGTCAGAAATCAAAAGCTGGCAGCCACAAGATCAACTGGACAACTGATAGATCAACAGTGCAAAGCTCTAAGTCTTTAGATAAATAATCTAAAAATCACAATAACGATTTTCTCCTGATCAATTTAATTCTTTTAAAAAATTTTTCTAACTGCCCTTTATTTGCCATTTGCTATTCCACAAATGTTGTAATCATAAATTCAATTGCTGGCTGGTATTTTTTTTTTCTTGTGGTCACACTGCATAAGCAAGCTCCAGCCGGCTTCATCTTAGTCTGTCCTTGGCTGGGATTTTAAGTGTACTCTACCAAATTAATGCAGCCAGCACGACTGGCCGCATTTGCAGAAATGTGTTGGATCTCAGAACTGAACAACTACACGACAGTCAAATGGCTTCTAATTTAGCTGGACTACGTACATACGATATTAAATCTACCCAGCCGTGTACACTTCTTTTAAAACAGATCTGCCTGCTGTTGGATTTTTCTTTTTTTTCTTTAAGGAAAACCAAATTGAATCCCACTATAACACTTCAACACTACATTGTTAAAGTAAAAGCAAATCTCTACAAGCAGATGCACCAGAACTGTGAATATAGAATATGCAATAAATAAAAATATAAGCAGCAGGTTTAACCTACATGTGGATAGTTTGGTATCAGATTTCTACATGAGGTTGGAGAGAAGCTATCGAATCCATTTTCAAACAAAAGGAGTCACAAAATCAGAACTGGATTGAGGTCGTGACTTTGATTTGGCCTCATTTTTTTTAAAATCCATTCGCGAGACAATATCAGGGAGCAAAGACATTTTTCTTTTTGAGAAGCAGATCACACAAAGACAGTTCAGCAGTTAGTTAATTAGTTGATTAGTTGTCGAGCTTTTAAAGTTGGAAGCAATCCAGAAATCTAATTTTAAATAAAAGATAATTTGATGGTTTAGACGGAGACGAGACAACACATCAGCAAAGTCCACGCTATTCTTTAGACCAGTTATCTCTGTTTGTGTGACGTAAGAGATTTGTTCACACAAAAATTAGTCATTTACACGTCGTTAGAGTTGCTGTGCACTGAAAACCAGCTGGATGAGCTCAGTTCTAAAATAAGGAGAGTCCATGAACTCACAGAGGCCTTTACTGTATGACAGCAGTGACCACAGACAGCGCTCGAAGGAAGCCACGTGGAGAAGAATATTACAAAGACTAAAATTAGACGATGAGACATCTTTCTCAGCGACCATAACAATGGAGCTTTTCATACCTGCTCGGTAAGATGTGTGACCTGTGCTTCCAGTTCTTTTTCTCCCTTGGCAGGAGTCGTTGCAGTTGCGGGGGTCTTTTTGGCCGACGAGGGTCTGGATGTTGGCGTTGAAGATTTGGGAGTGACAGAAGTTGACCTGGATGCTCCTGCAGCAGATAAAAGGTTCAACTACTGAACAAAACATGCACTGAATCATCACATGAGTCGATATGAATGTTAATGATCTAACCGTCGAGCCGTGTGTTACCAAGCCCACACTACGCACATTTACAGGTTTAGTCCTGTATTTTTGGGGTACGTTTACTTGCTTTAAGGTTCAAAATACACATTATGTTCCTCATGCTGTACATTGCTGCAGCACCTCTCTGTCTGAAACACTCTGCTTTAGCTCCTGTGCCTTTAAGAACCTCCTGAAGAGCTCAATCTGCTCTGATTAGGTCGACCGGTCCAACAAAAACAAGGCAACGCTGGCTACGTACAGCAACACCACAGGTATGCAAATATCCAAACCACTACACCATATAGGACGCCACAAAAAGATTTAGCATGTAGCAATATCAAAAAATACCCTGATCTCTTACTACACCTGCTCAGATTCTGCCATATGCAAGCAGCACAGTTTCCTGGCAATCCTGACCCACAATCCTCTGCACAGCTACATCACATGTGTCACAGTGTCCCACAAGTACAAACAAGCTTAAGCCACCGTGAGCGCTCAGACTAAGACAGCTCTTTGCAGACTACAACGGCGAAAGCTTAAGCTGCATTATTATGACCAAGCAGTATGTCTCAGCCGTTTGCATAATGAGTGACACAGTCGGTACTTTGTGAGAGCAGCTGTGCCATAAGTAAAAAGAAAAAGGATGCAGTTAAGAATGTAGCCCAAATCTCTGATGTAGTAGAAGTGGCTCTGATGGCAACTGTCCCACAGCTGCTCATTCTTTGCTTTGAGGACATGTCAAAGTACCTGCCAGGCAGGTGCTGTGCTAGTGTTACATGGTGACATAAATAAGTACCGGAAGAGAAGCTCAGACTTCAAATGAGGAATTTCAGGAGGGTAAGGAGCAGCGTTTCATGTGGATCTGTGGAGAGTAACTCCCTTTGGAGCGGTGTTTGCAGACCTTTCATGTGCATAATAAAGCTAGAAAACACACTAAAAGCAAACCGGGGCTCTTTAAAATACAGTCATGACTCGATAATCCGACACTAAATGTAAAACCTTCTCTTATGTCGGATAGCAAGACGGAGGTCGAGATACAAGGAGGGCTTGATGCTGGAAGGCTCATTTGTTGTTAATTATTGTTCATAGTTGTTATGATAACTAGTAGGGCTGGTCCCAATAGCACTTTCTGCTCTCTGGATATTCAGGCCCAATTAATGATGAATATCCGAATATTCGGCGCGGCCACCGCCACCATCCGTGTTACTGGACTGCGTGTGACGTCGTCGTGTCCTCTTCTGTGCATGCGGGACACTTTTGGGTCGTATGATGTTCACACAGCAGATCACATACAAGTCGCATTGAACTGGAAATGTGAACGAACTCGCAAAAAAAAAAAAAAAAAAGTCGGATTTCACAAAAAAATCTAAATTGAGCATCAAGTCCTGCAGTGTGAACGTAGCCAATCAGTCGGATTGTTCAGTCAGATAATACTCCGTTATCCTGATTGGTGGCATTAAATGTCACATCAGAGCCAGAATCCAAGGCTGTCGGTATGTTAAGGCTGTTTATTATGGGTTTTGTTCATTTTTCCTAAAAACCTGTCAGATAGCAGGTTTAGGATTGTTAAGGGACTATCGAGTCATGGCTGTAGACAAATACACCCAAATCAACATGCATCAGTTGTAACCTTCACCGTCTTTCATGCAGCAGTAGAGGCTTACCTGCGGTGGGGGAGCTGGCTGCATGGTGAGACTTCTTTGGCAGGTTGAAGATTTGCTCACCGGGGTCAGGTGGGGGAATGGCATCCTGACCCTGTCTGGCTGCAACCGGGTCGTAGTCTTTACCATCGTAATTGGCATCAAAGAATTTCTTAAACCACTGGATAAAATCGAGATTGTCCTGAAATCTGCCTTTGACCAGTTTCTCCACAGGAATAATCTGGCAGAGGAAAAAAAAAGCAAAACAGAAAGTGAAACATCAGCAGCCAGCGAGCAGGAAATCAGATCGGAGCAGAGTTTAGGAAACCCACCTTGTCCACATTCATTCGTTTGAAGGACGCCTGCAACAATTTGAAATTGTGAATGTATTCGTGCTCCAATTTAGCTTGAAACTTGACCTTCTTAAGACTGATGCAGCCAGGGAAGAGCAGATCCATGAACTGGCAATAGGCAGCTCCTACAGGAGGAAAAAGGAAAGTTAGCCGAGTGCATGTAAATCTCTGCAAGAAAACAAAAATACAGAAAACCGAGTCCAAATGGGATTTATCACGTCTGCATCAGCACAGCAAAAATCCCCTGAAATAACAAAAAGCCTGCGAGGCCTTTTCCATGTCCAGACCACCTGACCTTGTTTCCATAAAAAGAGAAATATTAATGAACATTCTTGGTAACATGGCTAATATTAACTGACGCCTAGTTAGATCTTTATCCGTTTGAAACGAGGGCACCAGCTCAACCTAAGATAAATCTCCTATAAATCCAACTAGGGAGCACTTGAGAAGTAATCTAGATCAAACAAGTAGCCTACACCGAGGTTGAGGCTGTGCATGTGTTTGTAGGCAGAGAGTGACTGAAATTGGATTACTTGGTCGCAGCAGGAGAACACGGCAGGCTACAGGTTTATTTATAGACAACTCTCTGCCAGCGAGAGGTGAGCATGTTTCCACAGGTTGCTCTAACTGCCAGCGTACTCTGAAAATTATTTGAACTCTTACACGCTTTACAGGCAAAGATGTCATCTGTGAAACATGCTTCCCATCTCAGACATGCAGGAGCAGAGGGAGGAAGAAAGGCAGAGAGAAAGTCATGCAGTTGTTTTTTTGTTGCGGGTCAGTTTGTTCTCACCTGATGAAAGCTGCTCCACTTTCGTATAGTTTAGGCAGAGAATATCGTTAACCCAGGCAGTGATGTCATGCCTGCTCATAGTCTCCTGGGTTATTGAGGTAGAATATACGTTGACCGCCATCCCCCAACTGCAAAAGAAACAAAAACAAAACACAACGCTCAAAAACAAAAGCAATGCATCGACTATACGGTTTCCTTTTGTCTCCGGTTAGCTTCTTTACCCAGAAACTGATTTGCTATTCAAATGAATTAACATTTCAAAAGATAGCAGCCACTCCTTGCACATAAAAGACACGAGAGAGTTGAAAAAACTAAAAATACATCCACGCTGTAGCCGCTTACAGGGTCCATTGATGGCAATTTAACCAGCAAGACAAAACATTAGTACGACTTCACACCGACTGATTTCTTTATTCCCACCAATTCACAAATGTAGTCGTGTTAAATTTAGTAATTACCTAAATAAAATATTCAGTCTGAAAGCCACACAGTAGGACTGTATCAGGATGATCTTTAGCGTTCATGCACATGCCCAGGCTGGCCTACAAAGAAGCCCAGAGGCAGAAATGTCCTCAGAGCCCCCCAACAACACCCGAGCCGTCGCTGCTGCACGTGACCAGCGCTGGTCATCCCTCGCATGCCACAGCTCTCCTGTCCACCGTGCACACTACGCCTCATCCTCCTCAGGTGTGCCCACAGAGCTGAACACTGAGCCCACAAAGTAGTCAAGGCTCCAACAAGAACACAACTTTCATTTTATAAATAAACGACTGGCCTTGTAGACTGCAGTGTAATATAATTATCTTCACCACATAAGCAGGTGATAATAAAATAAACCCACAACACTGAAACGTAACAGTCACACTAAGGAAATAGCCTACCTTTGCATGGTAGCGACAAATTTGGGATTTGTGGAGCCAAATTCAGCCACAGACTCAAAGCATGCACAGATGTAATGAATGGGACCTTCAGGGCTTCCTGTGGGAAACTGTCATATCTAATGATCGGCTCAGTTATTGGCTGGTCTGACCAATAACGAGGTGACACACTACTGCTTCTGTGACCTTTCTGTTCCAATACTGTGGTTGCAGCGCGGCCTGAAAGTGAAGCCTGGGATGACACTTTTCCTGTACGGTGAACAGAAGCTGTCGCAAAGCCTCAATAGAAACATGCTGCAATATTATGTGGTTGCAAAACTGCGGCTCTTGTGGGGCCTCGGGACACCTGGCCCACTTGCACTAGGGCCTGTATACCGACACACATACAATGGACTAAAATATATCAGGAAACCTTCATCTTTAAGCTACAGATTAGGCACAAAATGTCCACAAAACACTCGATTGATGCTTGCAAATTTCACTTGTTAACTCCAACTATCAGGAGTGTAGCAGTGGTTAATTCCTCTGCTGCACAAACATTTCAGCTGCAACTTCAACTCTTAGTGTCAGAAACTATCGCATGTATCTCAAACACAAACAGTTTAATTGATTCCTCAGAAAGAAGTGAACCAGTTTTCAGTTCTGCAAACACGACACCGTGTGCGCTTTCTTTTGAAGTGAAGGGTGAAAAAAACATTGAAATCAGTCCCTTTAAACCCAATCAGCAACTCTTTATACAGTACAGGCACCAATAAAACACATTAGAATTAAAATTAAAACTTGCTGATAGGGAATCCTTTTTGTGTACAGTTTTGTAACCGTACTTCTAAATCAGGTCGCCATAATTAAGTTACTGTGGAGTGTTAGCCTTTAAAGTAGTAAGGTTACTTTAATTAATAAAACTGTCGGGTCTTGGCCCTAATATGAATTAAAGTCAGGTCTATATAATCTTTTATTTCTTATTTTTTAAATTAATCCTGCAAATGCATTCCATAGATAACACAGTAGGGTCTTAACCTCTAATATTTCAACTTGTTGGGTTCATTTGTAATGTTTTCTATTATGAAGCCCTTTGGTGCAATAGCTGCTGCTGCTGTATAAATATATAACTGTGGACTATATGAACAGATAAAACAGTGACATGCATGAAACACATTCATGAACGGTGCAGTTTCCCAGGAATCCCCTAAACACTGCAGCTGAGCTCCCAGCAGGACGGCTGCACCCAAACACCGCCTAACGTGGAGCTAAATCATGCTAAACCATCATCCACCAGCAGCACAAACCAGGACATCATCATGAGCCCTTAAAGTTGGGCTGTATCGCAGCACTGCAGGAGCCCAGGCTCGCTTGACTGGTTCTCTGGGAAGGAAGGAAGGAAACTGGGCCAGCCCATCTCATGTCAACAAAGCGGATGTATGAGCCGCTGCTAGCATGCTTTGTTAGCCTGGCACGGGTAGCCGGCCGACTCCAGGGCTGGGCTGCTTCACACAAGGGGGCTGGTGCGGCAGGTCGTTGGGGGGGTCCACACATGAAAACAGCACCCAAACACACATCCACGGGGACACTGGGGGGGATTATGGAGGAGCTGCGGAGTGTCACGATGGGAACATAGCAGCAGCAGCAGCAGCGGGGCGGCTGTCTGGTGTTCCTGTCATTCCACTAGCTGGACCTCCGACAGGATCCTGCGCACCAAAACCCGCTCGGAGACACTCAGACCAGCAGGAGACGGCTTTAGGCGAACACAGGGGCGGTTTGCGCCATAGTGGCCCGGAGCTAACATGACAGGAGGTTGTGAGACAAACACAGAATAGCGGATGGGTGCAAAGCAAAAGACGTCGAGGAGGAGGAGGAGGAGGAGGAGGAGGAGGAAGAGGCCAGAATGCAGGTTTGTGTCTGCAGCAGTGTGTGGTCCCGTTTTTTTTCTCTTCTTCTTTTTTTTGTATGAGTATTATTTAGTCTTACATTAAATCAAACGAGGCTGGTTTACCTGTAGGCGCGCTCTCCCCGCACTGTATTTTTCCTGTAAGGAATGATGTTGGATCCGTTGTCCGGGACGATGTCGTTGTTATTCTCTCCATTTGGGGAAAGGGCTTGGGTGGGACCGGGCATTTGGGTCTCTATAATGTTGAACAGATACTCTGTTCTCTCTCTGGCCGGGGAAAAAAAAAATAGACAAGAAGGAACGATGCAAACGCTAAGAAAAGTGCCGCACCTCCGGGCTCTTTCCTTCTGTCTGCTTATTCCTCACAAATCTCTGCCCTAATGACGTCGCTGCACCCCGCACCACGTGACTGATGGGGCTGGCTGGCTGCTGCTCCCTATGCTGGGCTATTTATTTCAGCAAATCACATTGATCAGTGCTTTACAAAAAAAATAAAACAAAAGCATCATCACCGATCACATTGTTTTTTTCCTTTTCTTTCACATGCAGATTAACTTTTGCGGCCATTCATCAAATCACACAATAACCAATCAGGTGTGGATGAGATTAGGAGCAGAGCTGCAGCCCACCCAGTTTCACCTTCAGACCGTCACATGATCATCACACAGCTGCTTGGCAATGCAACACATGTGGCTAACAATTAAGTATATATATATAAATGTAAAGCAGGTGGTGGATGAAAACGTAGAGTCGTGCTCAAATGTATTCATACCCTCTCATTAAAGAAGGAAAAAAATAAGCTGAAATTGACAAAAGTAATAATAAATAAACATTTAATGAAAATCATGCTTTTGAATTGTGGTTCAACGGAAATATTTTTTTAAAAAATAAGCAAACCAGCATGATGGGACCTGTAAACTCATATTTATTTGAACCCTTTGAGCCAATCACTGCAATCAAGTGTTTTAATTTCTATTTTTAAAAAATTATTCTTTTCAACCACAATTCAAAAGCAATGTCTTATTTCACTAAATATATTTAGCAAATTTTTATTTATTATTACTTTTTCCAGTTTCTACTTTTTTGAGTGATTACTATGAAATTTGCCTTTTCTTTTAATGGAAGGGTGTGACTACATCTGAGGATGACTGTAGCTGATGGAAATCATGTAAAACACTGATGATTGATCACTAACCATCACATGAATAAATCCCGTCAGTCGTCACCATAAAAACGAGTCAATTCATTTTAAAGCACCAATTAACTGTTTCAGGTTGTTTAAATGTGATAGACGACCACGTGACGTTGGGTCTTGGACAGAAAAGAGGACGATCTTTACATTCTGAGAACTTGTGATTGGAATTTACTGACGTTTTATGCACCAAACCGTTAATGTTTTAACCAGTAGATTAATGGATAATAAAAATAAACTGTTTCCTTTTTAACTAATCTGCCAATTTTATTTCCCAAAATGTCATAAATTGTATTGATGATGAATAATAATAATAAAAAATCTATATATTCAAGAACATTGACATTAATTATTCACTAGAATAACCACTCATTTGTCAAATATCTAATTAATCGGCAACTATTTTGATAATCGATTGATTGGTTTGAGCACATTTTTTAGTCTAAACCCTCTGATTCTGTTTTTTTTTTAAATTCAAACATTTTCTGGTTTATTTCCTCGTGTATGACAAGAAGTTAAATTTCTCTCGGTTGTGGACAAAATAAGACGTTTTGTTGGGCTACGGGACACGCTGACATTTTTTTTTTTACCACTTTCTTACATTACATAGACCAAGCAACTAATCATTTAATCGAGAAAATAATCCACTGAATAATTAACAATGAAAATGATTGTTTAGTTGCACCCCTAATAGTCACATTTGAGTAATTATTTTGGCTTTTTAAACTTAGAAAATATCTTGGAATTATTATTTAAATGGCTGCCAATACATTTTCTGTTGACTAATTGACTAATTGTTCAGTTATAACATGCATCTAAACATACATGGTAGAGGTGTGATAAATGCTGTCTCACAACATAACAGGATCCTAAATCCCTACACATGGTGTTGCATTTCTAATCCAAACAACGCAGTCCTGCGGTTGCTAAGCTTTCGTCCATTTGTGTCGCCACATCTGCTGTTTTTAACGCCGCTTTTGTTTCGTGTTGGTTCTGTCATCGCTGAGCAACCGCTGCGAATGACACACACACAGTCTTTTATTAAAGGTGACACATTCCTCCACACATTTAATCCGTACATAAATTAACTTTAAAACTTCTCCAATCAAATTTAGAGACTAACGATGTGTCCAAATGACCCAAGTCAGAATATCTCAGTCCAACCTCGTGTGCACACGGTTAGTAATCAAGAACCAGCACGTCCAAGTGTTCAAGGGCATGAAGGAAAACTGGTTTGATACCTGCTAATACAAGACAGCTACGACGTGTCATGCAGGAATTTTATGTACAAAGTCATTTCAATGGACTCCAATGTGACAAACTTTTCCACCATTCTGTTCCACTGCCTTGATTTTTTTCCTTTTACTGCTAATGATTTTCTCCATCATTGTTCTTCTGCTTTATTAAAAGAAAAACATGCTGTGTTTTAATGTTCGGCCTTTTAAAACTGAACCGCTGCAAGAAATGCAGGTCGAGCTCCACCATCAGCCCAAAGGTCGACTCACATTTTAGCCTGGATGTTTTCACATGTCAGCATGTTTGAGTTTCTTGCAGGTCAAACAAGAAGCTTTGTTAACGCCACGGTGTCACACGGCACAATGATCTGCTGAAGACACCTTTCTGCCAGACGGTCCAAGCCCGACCAGGCCGGAGAGGAAGCATCTCCCGAAAGGTTTGTCAAATGAAATTAGATTCTCAGTGAAGTTGTTCTTTAAGAATAAGAAAAGAAGTAACTGGAACTGCCTTTTAAATCAACTGGAGGACATTAAGAGTCACTCAACTCTTGATTAACAGTCTGTGTGCTCACTCTAGAACTCTAGTGCCACCATCAGGCCATAGCTGGGGTCACCGTTTGGCCTCCAAATGATCAACTTCAAGTCTACAGACAGACTGATCCATGACAAAGACAAACGATACGGGCAAATAAAGTCTAATTCGACTCAGTGTAGTTCTGAGTTTTGTCCTCAAGTACAACTTAATGCAACTCTTAGCATAAGACAACACCTTAAGTTTGCCTTTTTATTTGCCTGTTCTGGTTTTTCAGGAGGACTTTCACCCTTCATACGGACATCCACAGCTTCATTAAGTCGGCCTCCCTTGAATGATGCGATATTTACAATAAAGCTTTACTCTGAAAAGGCATATTCCAAATTCTGCTGTTTTTTTTACTGCGAAACTGTGTCCATACTCAATATCATCCGCCTTATTTATCCAACTTTAATCAAGCTTTTAAAAGTCACGTGCCAGAAAAGCGGATGTATGTGAAGCCGATTGCACCTTTGAGCAGAAATAATTCACCCTCACACTGAAATGTGCATTAAACCTGCAGTTTCAAGTCTTTCTTTAATCATTTAAAACAACACTAACAAATCAAGGCAGTGCACGAGAGGCGTCGTGTCCACCTCCAGCTTAGGAGGCTTGTGTGGTTGTGCAGAGGGGGAACATATTTGGGGGTATTCCATCTTCCCCCGCTGGGTCAAAAGCATTCTTTACACAAATTCCTGCAGAGCCAAACACAAAGCATAACCAAGAGCTAATCTCATTACATGACCAAGCTGCGAGGACTAGAAATGCCTCCGCTAAGAACCACAAGCATGCAGTGCTACGTCTCCACTGCAGCGCTGCTAAAGGCCCTTCCAGACTGACGAGCCACAGCCACAGCGTCCTGGTCACAACAGAAGCACAAAATTGTGACGTTGTCAAACTTCTGAGACAAGCAGGAAAATGGGATTTTTTTTTTCTGTGCTGGTTCATGTGAGCAGCAGCTGTATCCCCCCATACTGTGTCACAGCTGGGCGGGTGGCAAAGTTATCATCAGGCTGTCACTGGGCTCAACGTAGCACTTCCCAATCTGAAGGGCCTCGAGTGTCGCCGCAGAGGTGCAGCATGCATGGCCGTTTTTGTAAATGAATGGTCAGAATGTGAAGAATGAAACAGCTAAATGTAAATGGCGACGTCGTCTTAGCCTATGAGTTCTTACTTCAACTGTCGAGGGATTGTCCTCCTCGGTGCACTTGACAAAAAAAACACAAGATGCGTCTTTAAAAGCCAAGAAATTCTCAGTTACACGACAACCAGAGCACAAAAAAAAAGTGTGAGTTTCTTTTCAACAACATTTTGAAAAGCAATTGTTCAGATGTGTGGCGGGCAGCCGGGACGAGCGCTGATGACCGCCAGCGTGTGAACTCGCTTTAAGACCGAACAGCACCGCATTGTCAGGAGCTTTCTAAAAGCAATAGATCCATTAATGTGAACGCTGAGTGGATGCAAAACGCTGCATAATGTGTTAGACAAACAAAATGAGGAGGGATTTTACAACTGTGATAAGCGGCGAGCTGTCTGGAATATGAGTATACAATTTAACCGGCCAAAGTGAGCTGAGTCGGGTTCAACTCTTTGTGCAGAATGTTTGACTTACAATATGAGTAAAATTAACAGACACACATCAGACAAAACAGGGGCTGGAAAAAGCAGCCTCAGAGCTTAAACCCTGAGGATGCTCTGTTTTGAGCTCTGGAACATTTTTCAAATGGGTTAAGAGAAGAATTAATGACAGTAACTATGGAGGACTCCAGAGAAATGTCCTCACATGCATACCAGAGGAACAGTGACTTCACCTATAATCTGAAGACAATTACCCCTCAATGTGGAACGACGTAGTTTTGCTGTATTGTTAACTTCCATTCAGGCGAGTATTCTCTGCAACAACTTCAGCATCAGAGCTGCAAGCGACTATTGCTATTAATATTGATGAATCAGTCAATTATCTTCTTGATTAATCGATTTGTTGTTTTTCCAGAGCTCAACATGGTGTCTTTAAATGTGGATTGTTTTGCCCACGACTCAAAGGTATTCAGTTTGTCAGTTAAAAACAAGAGAAAAACCCCAAAACAATTCAGATTTGAAAATGTGGAATTAGAAAATGTCAGCCTTTTGTGCTGAACAAATGACATATTTGACAACTAATCGATTCATCATTCAGCAAAAGAAGTCATAATAAAACTGAGGCTGCGTGAATAAGACACAAACCTCCCTGTAGTGTCCTTTTCAGTATCTCCTTTGTGAATGCCAACATCACTGTACATGTAACCTGTGCTGCTTCTTGCATTTACATTATGACAAGCTGTGAAATGTTAAAGTTGGATGCTGGCCAGCTAACCTAGCTAAGAGCTGCTTTTCTGTTCATGATGCCTGTTATCAATTTAGTGAGGGTGGGGTAACATGTGCACGGCTGGAGGATGAGGCTTCACTTCTGCATGTTAACCCACAATGAATCATCCTGGAGCAGTGGAAAGGCAGAGCTGTGTATCACCAAGCTTTCTCCTGCAAAGCCAGCTGGTCTGGTCAGCAGCTCCACCCTGCAGGATCAAGCACTGAGGGGGTTCCTGTGACCCTGAGTTACAGGTTTTGATGTCCAGATCGTGGTCTCATTTTCAGGGTGTGAACAATTCTAGACAAATGTGAGTCAAAGTCTATGTTGTGCTTTCAGGGGAACCTCAGATCAATGAAATGATATCGATATGCACCAGACGCTTAACTTCAACAGCAAGGAGAAAATTGCTCAATAAAAGGTTCGATATTTTCATTTAAATGCAAAACCGAAGTGAGAGCACACAACGAAAATGCACAGCTCGGCTGCATGAACGAACCCCAAGCGTGCTTCCTCCCTGGTTGATGAACCGCTAATCACATCCCCGTGGTCCTCCGTCTCCACGTGGCTTCTGTGCAGGTCTCCCAGGACCAGCTAGTGTGCACCCACCTGGGCTTCTCATCGTCCCAGTTCGCACCGGCGGGGATCAGTAGGTGTCCTCATGAGAAGGGCTTTGTAGTCTAAAAACACCCACGACCCTGTGTACCCTCCACCTGAAGCTACGCAATCCTGGCAGCCTGGACTTGATGTCAGGGTGCACTCGGTACAGGTCTCTGCCCGGTGATACCCGGTCCTGGCTGGCTACTGAGAACCTTAACAGAGTGTCAGCTTTGCTCTGGTCCCGTTCTGTGTAGCTCCAGGTCTAACTTTGTTCACTTATCATGCATCAAGGCGTGATCATCCCTTCACCTATTTTTATTTCTGTATGTAAATGTATTTATTGTGCATGGTTTTCATTTGGGGGTTAGCACCGTCGCCTCACAGCAAGAAGATCCCCGGTTAGGACGCCTGGGATCTTTCTGTGTGGAGTTTGCATGTTCTCACCAGGTTCTCCAGCTTCCTCCCACACAGTCCAGAAACATGCTGAGGTTAACTGGTGATTCTAAATCAGGGGTGTCGAACTCTGGTCCTCGAGGGCCGCAATCCTGCAAGTTTTAGATGTGTCCCCTCTTCCAACACACCTGATTCAAATGATCAGGATCGTTATCAGGCTTCTGCAGAGCTTGATGATGAGCTGATGGAAGAGGGAAACATCTAAAATTTGCAGGATTGCGGCCCTCGAGGACCAGAGTTCGACACCCCTGTTCTAAATTGTCCATAACTGTGAATGTTTGTCTCTTTGAGGAGTCCTACTATAGACTGGGGACCTGTCCAGGGTGTCGACTGGGATAGACTCCAGAACCCCCCCGACCCTAGTGAGGATTAGGCGGTGTATAGATGATGGATGGATGGTTTTCATTCCTTATTACCTGTGCATCTTGATAAATAGGCTGAAGTGGTGAAACTGAAAGTTAGTTGGTTAAATGCAAATTGCACTTATTTTTCTAAATCGTGCATCTTCATCACTCAGGCCTGAGTAACCCAGGGGGGGTACCAGGACCAGACAGGAGGGACTCTGATCCTCCACCTCTTACAGCAGCACGTAGAGCCACAGCCTTGCATGCATCATGGGTGGAAGGGAAAGTTTCCATTTACCACTGACAAGCGCAATTAAACAGCCGAGCAGTGTGCTCCACGGCCACCCCCTCCTCCTCCACCGTGTCCCCCCGGTGCCCACCACTGACCAGAAAGCCGTCCAGCTGCCGTTAGTGATGGAGGAGAGCCGGACGGTCCCGCTGATGTGGGAGATGTTTAGCTAGCTGCTGCTGCTGCTGCTGCTGGTGAATGAAGCTAACTGAGCTACGTGTCGGGCAGCGAGACGCACAGTGACAGTAAAGCTAGAAAACAACCAGAGAGCGAAACAAAGAGACTTTTATCAGCCCAGACGGTACCCACAGTACCGGTAGGGCGTGTTGTCGAGCTCACCGCCAAGTTTCAGTGCGCTAATTTTGTTCCTGCCAACACTTTGTCAGAACAGTGACAGCCGACGTATGCCCTGACCCGGGGTGCCATCACCGAACCGACCGCGGCGCTACGCTCTCGCTTTCCGCATTTCACTCACCACGTCGCACGTTTAAAATAAAATCACACACTCAAAATTCTCAGCGAAGGGAATGTGACTTACCAGTGAACTCCGATCCGCAGGTTACAAGGTGTTAAAAAAATCTGTTTTCCGGCTGAGTCACCCCACCCTCAAACGCCCATTCTCGCAAGACGGTGAACCGGTGGCGGCAGCCTGATTGGATAGCGTCTCATCGGTGTCGCAGCTGATTGGTCCGCCGCTGACATCTGTCGGCAAACCGGCCAATCGCGTATTGGTGCGTTGATCATTCACAACATCTGACAGCTTTCCGTCTTGTCGCCCCGTGTCACATCACTTTCCCTCCCGAATAAACAAAATGAATAATAATAATAATAATAATAATAATAATAATAATAATAATGAATTAGATATAATTATTTATTAATAATAATAGAATTGTTATCAATAATAATAATGTCAACTTCCATATCACAAAAATATGTGCTATTACCTCTCAGGGTTTCCACTTTAAACACTGAGTGCTTTTTAAAAAAATAATGTGTACTTATTTTATTTTTGTGTATTTATTTTATTCTGTGTACTTACTTTATTTTCACAATGTACATTTCTATATATTCTTACTTTTTATTGCTGCTGCTCTTACCTTTCCTAATTTTATTCTTATATTTTTTATAACTTAATTTCTTTTTTCTGTACGTAAAGCTGACTCGTGAATAGGCACAAGAATTCCAGAGTGCCTGTAATGTACCCATGCAAATGGCAATAAAGCTCTATTCTCTAATAATAATAATAATAATAATAATAGCAATAAGGCACATTTAGGCAGGGGGCGCTTAGCCAAAGTGCTTTTATGTGGAGAAAGAATAATACTATTTTTTAGCTACCTTACAAGATTACACATTAAGGTCAACACCCTGGAATATTTTCTTTTAATTAAAAAAAAATACTTGAAAATTTCAAATATTAAGACAAAAATATTAATCATATAGATTTTAATGACTAATTATTTTTTTATTGTTAAGACCCTACAATATTAGCCTATTTGATAAATAAAACAACAAAACAACAACAAATGGCAAAACATTTCTGTAAGTATTTCATTAAATCATTGAAAATCTCAACTACGTGCTTTATGCTGGTATAATAGAGAAATCTCTGTCGTGTTGTTTGAAGTTGACACTTTGCTTTGAGTTCATTAGTGAAACTAACGAAACATTTAATTAATCAACAACTAATCAGCAACCATTTCAATCAATTGTTAATGAATGATTACGGCGGTTTAATCGAGCACAATTTGCACATATTCTCTGGTTCCACCTTCCTGAGGATGGAGATTTATCACGTGTCTGCGCTTTATAGTATTTTAAAATATTTAAAACCTGTAAGTTTTGAATTGATGCTCCGAATAAAGATTTGTAAGAGGTCACCTTGGATTCCTGTGAATGTGTGATGGACATTTTTTCACCGTTATTTATGTGTTCTTTGACATTTTATTGATTAAATGATTAATTAACAAAAATAATTCTCACAGTAATCAGTAGTGAAAGGACAATTATACCATTACTGTGTAGTTCCTTAGTCTTATGTGCACGGATCAAATTAAATGAAATATAATTTTAGTTTGCCACAGAGTTAATGCAAAGTTTGCACTTGATTAAATAAATCTGATATTCATCCAGCAGCATGACTGCACTCCTCCTTTTCCAACACCAGAGAGCAGTGATGCACCTGATGTCGGAAGAAAGAGGTTTGGTGTAAAATCCATCAATGTTCTAGCTGCTCGCCAACTATGACGATGCAGGAGACACAACATGGAGCGCATAAAGAACATGCTGTGCAAAAACTCCATGCAGCAGTATATACATAGCTGGTGTTTAAGGCCGTGGGTGGATGTAGAAATGCTGTTTCTAAAGGAATGTCCTGTGTGCACGCCTTTAAAAACTCGTGGTAATAATAACCATCAAGCCTAAAATCTGCTAATTCATATGCTTTTAATATTGCCAAAGCCCAGAGCAAAAAAAAAAATCTCCTCCCTAATATGCACATGACTGTGAGATTCAGTGCCGGATGGCTGCTTTTATGTTACCTCAGACGGTAGGTCTCTGTGATGAATTATAGACAATAGGTTGAGGGCAGTCAACAGTGCATTTATGACAGATAATAAATGTGCGCTGCCAAACCAAGCCAATTGAAGTGTGCCGTTCTGGAATGGAAAAAGAAAGAGGAAGGAGTTCATAGGCGAAAATTGTGATATTGTGTCAACACTTTATTATGCATCACCACCATGCAAAATCACTGCTATGAACTTGCTCAAAAATCAAACTAGATATATTTCACACATTTACGATTTTAGATTGGCTTGCCACTTTTTTTTTTTTACCCCGAAAGTGACTGGGTAAAGTTTTTGTGCACACTTGAGTGTGTATGTTGGTGTGCAAGTCACACGGAGGCTCGTGTGAGAGGATTGGCGCTAAACGAATGAAACGACGGCAGATGATCCACGATCGAGCCTTAATTCACAAACCACTGGTAGTAAACACAGTTTGTTCAATGCCCTTGCCAGTGTAAACCTTTGAGTTTAAGCGCAATGGATGTCTCCGTCGCTTCTGTTGAAACACCTTCAGACATTAGAAGATCACATCTTCTACCTAATTGACCATTTATATGTAGACAGCGTACATATTTGCAAACCACGTCTGCTCCGAGCGTCGGTTTAAATCGGACCAGAGAAGACATCCGGCATCGCTGCAGGTGTGTTTTGTTGTAAGCTACATGCTGCATCGACAGGTTGAATGAGCTCCAGTGAGAGGTCATCCAATCAGCTAAGGCAGTGCGCGTCATTATTACTAATATGTCAAATAAAACTAATGTGTCTGATTGGCCTGCTCAAAAAAACAAAACAAAAAACAATACAAAAGCAACTCAACAGCAACAAATCATTGGAATAGTGGTAAAATCTGTTCATGGTAACCCGGCCAGAGTCGCACAATTACAAAAGATTTCAAATATTAACATTTATAACTTCAGATCCAAACATAAGCTCAGGTTTATCCTCATCGTAAAATCAAATGACAACAAACATTGAAAACCGGTTCATTGAGTTCAGAAACATGAGAAAGAATCAGGTTTGTACTAACCAGAGTAGTTTGATAGACAACTCATATAAAAAGGATAAAAATCAAGAAATAATTCCCAAAAATCACGTGTTTGTTTTGTTTTTATGGCACCTGTGGTATCATAGACAGCTCAGTAATTAATCTCTTTACATCAGCTCACAGTATTACCTTAAATATGTGCTTGGTTAAAAAATAGATCTTTACATAAATGTATTCTATGGTTGGATTAAGCCAAACTTAAATTCCCCATGTCTTCAGTGCTCTGTACCGTCGGCCCAGTGTTGTCTCGTCCAGTGTCTTCTGCTATTGTTGCTTTTCATATTGCTCACCTGTGAAGAACAGAGACACGGCGTGATGGAGGTGATCGACATGTACAGCAAAATGAGAAACACTAGGTGCATGAACACACACATTCCAGCATTTTCCTTGTTTTTAAGAAACACATGCAGAACTGAGAACCCTGAAAAACGTAGCATGTTCACATCCTGTCCAGGTTTTTGTTGCTTCGTCCACTTCAGTCATGTTACCAGTAAAACCAAACGTATGGAAACTTTATGACGGTGGAATGAACACGAAGGTCAGTCAGCAAACGAGACATAACAGGGTTTATCCTCAGCTGCTGAGGTCACTCTATAGGTGCAGAAATGACCGAGGTTTTGTCATAAATTAGATTAATTAGTGCACATATCGAGGCCAATGATAGAGGAGAGCTCACAGTCAGCTCTGAGTGCATTCAGGTAGCAACATTAGCAAGAAGCCACTGACAGCACGACGATGTGGAGCTTTATCAGGAATAACGTTTATATACAGTATATTTGCTTATTACAACTAAATAGAAAAAGTTCTACTGCAATCCACCCAGTAGTTTTTGAAATATATACCAATAACTATAAATCACTGGCTTCATTGAAGTCGCAGTTTACCTCCAGTAGTACTGCAACTAACAAATTCATCAGACCACCACCCAATGTCAGGTTTATGCCCTAAATTAACAGCATTGGTAACTACCTACATCATTTCTTATGTTTCTGTAATGGTTAATACACCAGTATGTAGAAGCTCTTTAACCCAAATTATGCTTTTAATGCTAAAATATAATTATTATTGTCAATAGCAAAACACATTATTATTATTTCTTGAATTTAAACAAATTAATATCAATCAGTTCAACAGCATATACAAAAAAAACATACATTCAGTAGGTATAAGGAGGAAGATGGGGTTTCATTAATGCTGTTATTACTGATCATACACAATATAAACCCTGTAAATATATCTATAGTTGTAGTAGAGCTGTTATGTATTGATGATTAATTAGTAGTGGTATCACTTATATCCTAATGAGGACGACTAAATATTGTTATATATAATTTAATATTGTATATTAAATCCATTACTTATTAATATGTACGTGTGTATATGTAGGCCTGTACATATATTTATGTAATGTACTGTTGTCATATATATATATATATATATTGGTAATATACATTTCTATAACAATCTATTAGTAAAACTTATTGCAAAGAAACTGATTATGTACATGGTACAATTATATATCAGTGCAGTTAAATGATTATATGTTGATGCATATTTTATATTAAATCCATTTATTATATATATAAATACATGTAAAATTGCAATGAATCAGAGGGTGATAAGGGGGTGGGAGTTAATAAGTTCATAATTCTTCCTGCTCCTTTTTGAACTCATGTTTGTACATTTTTGTCCCTTTTTTGGGAAAACGTGGAGAACGGAGTGGCGTTAAAGCACTTCATGATGCTGGATGGTCTATAAATATAAATAAATATAAAGTGCTCAACAAAGTAGACAGGTGGTCTAATAAATAAATACATGTTAAGAACAGTATATTAATTGTAGTTATATGGACACAAAAGATTTGATGTAAAATATGGTCGCAGTCGCTCCTTCTGATCCTGAGTCACAGTGTTGAATAACTGTTTGTGCAGAACGTTAAGATGTCCCAGTGACGTTTTGGTAATTAATAGTCATTGTTTATGTCATAATAAGCTTATGAATGTTTGAGTTATGCACAAAAAAAAAAGTGTTTTGTGAGGTCACAGTGACCTTTGAGCACAACAATCTGAATCCAAGTAAACACTGGTGCCAATTACCTGGAGGTGATAACGAGATATCGTGAAAAACCAGGAAAAATGCCTTCTGATCGAAGCTGTCACCGTTAAAACCAAAAATATCGTCCTTACGGTGGAGCTACACAAGAACTCAGAGGATCTTCACAGTCGGTGGGATTCGTCCTCTGGGGAACGTGAGTGAGTTTCAATCCAACAGTTGTTGAAGTGTTGTGGGATTTACCGAAGCAGTGGACTGACCGACAGAACAGTTTAACTTACTGGTGAAGTGACAAAAACCTGGATGCAGGAGGAACCATGCCACATCAATATGCATGTAAACGGGATTAATAAAAAAGGCCTGATAGTATTCACTGCTTATGACTGCTGCTTGCACACATGTACTGACCATTATTTCCTCAAATGTATTCACAGCCTCCCGTTAAAGAAGCAAGAAAATCACTGACATGAGTTGAAATTGACAAAAGTAATAATAAATAAAAATTGAATGGAAATCATGCTTTTGAATTGTGGTTCAACAGAAATTAAAAACAAAACAAACAAACAAAAAAAATGATGGGACCCATAAACTAATATTAAGTTGAACAACCTTTTGAGCCAATCACTGCCATCCAGTGTTTTCTGTTTATTTATTTTTTTAAATTATTCTTTTCAACCACAATTCAAAAGCAACATCTTATTTCACTAAATTATAATTTAGCAAATTTTTATTTATTATTACTTTTTTCAGTTTCTAGCTATTTGAGTGACTGTTGTGGATTTTGCCTTTTTTTTTTTTTTTTAAATGGAAGCATGTGAATACATCTTTTTTTTTTTTTTTTTTAAATGGAAGCATGTGAATACATCTGAGGACGACTGTATAAACTGTTACTGGTGTTATTACAGTTTCAGATGTTTGTTAGCATTTCGGTACATGACAAAATGAAAAGCCTGTCCTGTTAAATGAAGTGCACTACAATCGTGTGAGCTACCGGAGGCTCCAGTGGACTTACCAGTCACCTGGACTGACACAGTCACTGCTGCAGCGTCACCTGCACCACATCATTGAAACCACAACGCATACAGCAGGTTGGAACAGGCGCTGACAAGAGGTCATTTATTCATTCTGAACACACACACACAGTACGCCGCCTTCTCCTTCCATTCGTCTAGAAAAAAAAACAAAACAAAAAAAACAACTGCGACTCACCATGCACGTCTTGTCCGCGTCCTGCCTGTGCTTCATCAGCTCCTCCAGCTTGAGCTCGTCCTCCAGCTGCTGCTCCAGGTCGTTCTCGAAGCGCTCCTCCTCTGCGGCGCTGGCAGGCCTGTGACAAACGCCAGCAGGCGGTTTAAAACAAAACATGGCCCCAAAACAGCAACGGCAAACTATTGTTTCCAAATTACACGAGTTGGGATGTAGGACGTGACCTAAGCGTGAAGAATTTGGGTCACACATCTGTATGGAACAAAGCTACTGGGAGAGCTGACAACGGGGGAAATGAAGTGTCAGGAGGGAACGGACAGATGTGCCGAAGCATTTTAAGGTTAAGCGGCGATACGCTGGGAAAGTTTACAAGCAGACACAAATTAGAAAGAGTTATGAATATGGAGGGAAAAATGATGGTTAGTCCTCTAAAGGCACTGGAGTTGTTGTAATTCCAGAGGAGCTTGATTAATTTTATTTCTGCTTGTGCTCTTGTACATGTCAGAGGTAAATATTTTAGATTTTCCTTCAGTACATTTATGAGACGGGTGTAGTTGTTGTCCACATTTACAGTTTTCACACAAATGCAGTTAAATGGTCAAAATTAAACTAGCGTCTTCTGACTTGTGACCCCGTTCAAAACAGTTTCATCTTACTGTTTATGAACTGAGTGATTATAAAATAAGTATTTGAGGCAGAAGCAATGATAAAGGGTCCATCCTGCATCTTGCTCATGTACATTTAGCTGATGATATGTACTGTAATTTCCAGACTATACTACTTTTCTCACACGCTTTGAACACTGCGGCTTCAACAACGACGCGGCTAATTTATGGATTTTTACGATTCTGACTCGAGACCAAAGTGACGAAATGATTCTGAGGCTGTTCACCTCCTGGAGACACTGAAGAAGACGACTTTAGTGGTTTTAGTGCAGGAGGAAGATGAAGATAGCCATCAGTGACTTTTCCTGGCAGGCTGCTGTAGTTTTTATTTCCTTAACCAGCCGTGTTACAGGCGCTGTTCAGAAAAAAGCCTCTACGGTATTTGTGTATGTTACGTATTTAAATAAAAGTTCACATGTCTGATCAGTACCTTGGTTTATAAGTAAAGAAAGTGTCTGAAGAGGTCGAGGCCAAAAGGTCACAACGTCCAAAGTCTGAATCCACAGTGCTCTCAGTCTCACTTCCACCCTCTGTGAAAAAAAAAACAGAGTAATTAAAGCAGCTGGTGTTTAATAATTCAGAAATGGAAGCACATCGTTGCCTTTCTCACCTGAATTGAGCTCCTTGACCAGCGATGACATGGTGTTGGTGATGGAGTCAGCAGCAATAAGCAGGTCGTTCCTCAAATTTCTCCTTGGACCTTTGAAAAAAGACGAAAGTTTGTAAATGTGACGATCGGCTCTCAGGTGGATTAAACGCACGATGTGTGGTGCCAGTGGGCTACCCTGAGCGAAGGCCTCCTGAACGTCCCCTCCCACGCCCATGAGTGAGTCCTGAGGTGTGTGAGTCGGGGTGGTGCCGGCGGAGTCCGAGTGGATGGGCGTGGGGATGGGCCGGCTGATGGTGTGGCTGGGAGAAGAGCGCGGAGAGCCGGGACCCTGAGTCTGAAGCACAGAGTTCAGAGTTAGCTGTGTCGGCATCGTGTGGACAGAAGAGCATGCTGTAAGGAAATAATCAATCACACGTTTTACTCTGTGTTATTCTCACAAACTTCACCTGAACACCCAAAAGTCTGCTGAAGCTTAATGAGGATCATTCGCACATCACAGCAGCTCTGTGAGTAAGAACACTGTGACCCACATGCTAGGAGTGCACCCCATGTGGAGCAACAAAGCTGCAGCTATTATTATTGTCAGTATCCCACAACATGCTATTAAAGGAGATTTCTGTCCCTCAAAGCGATTCCAATTATTCCCACAGACCAAACCACGAGCTGGTGAACGCCAAGCATCTCCAAACTGAGGAATCAAACCTCTTTGGTCTTTAAAAATAAGGTTCACCCGACAAACAGCGAGGTTTTTATTCCAAACGTGCATCCAAATCTTTTTTATTTTTTAATTATTTTTCACACTCACAGCTTGTTTCCGTTCCTCCTCCAGCTGAAAAACAAAACGGCTTGTGAAACAGCAACCACATTTTTAAAATGAATTTTTAAAAAAAATCAAAAATCCAATCGGTATTTCCGCAAAGCCGAGGCGAGCACGCGGCCTCCTCATGCAAGTTTAATGGATCGGCATTGATCCTTTTAAGCTAATTAGATTGATATCCTCCCCACTTAAGCCAGTATGGCGAGCAGTTCATGTCGGCTTTGAGGAACTCCCGTCCTGTCGCCTGCAGAAGATCTTCTAACATCAAAGGTTATCCTTCCTGGAGGGGGGCAGTCGTGTGCTCTGGGAAGGTGTGATGGATTAATATGGCGCGCTTAAAATGTCAGTTTTGATTCCTGTCTATCAGTTGAATCTGAAGATGAGCGACACATGCAACCTGCAGTAACAGAACTGCTTGTCAGAGACGATTCTTAACCCTTAATGCCAAAAAAAGAAGCATGAAATACAGAATTGAAGCCTGCTGTGACTTTAAAATGAAAGATTTAAACATCGCTGATGATCCAGTGAAGCTGCTGATTTCTAATCTTTCACTAAATGTGAACTACATATGGATGTATAAAGTGATCTCAGTGATTAGCGTTAGAGGCCCATAAAGTCTTTTTTTATTTTTTAACTGACCGGTATTGGCTTTACTGAGCCTCTGCTTACGTCCAGAGGGCACAAAGATGCGGTTAAAACGGAAAATTGGAAAATGAAAAGCAGTCCAATAGCCGCTTGCAATAATCTGCAATGTTAGCATTTTGCAGGGCGGCAGTAACGCATATAAAAGCAAACGCTGACTGGAACACACAGAGTTTAATCAGGTGACTCAGGCAGGAGGCTGCAGGATACTTTTAGGAGGAAAGAAAGATGTACAGCACCGAACAAATGTATGAGACCTCCACCCAATGCCCTAAACTAACAGCACTGGTAATTAGCACAATCATTTCTAATGTCTCTGTAATGGTTAATACACCAGCATGTAGAAGCTCTTTAACCCAAATGATGTTTTTAATGCTAAAATATAATTATTATTGTTATCCATGAGTTTTCAAATGTATTGTTCTACAAAATAAAACAGGAAAAAACAGTAAAGCACATTATTACTTCTTGATTAAAATGTCAAATTCTAGTTATTTACTTTGCATCCCTGAGCAGAAAAAAAGAGTTTTAATGGTTGAATGTGAGTCATTTTCTCAGAGAGCAAATGTGGATATAAAAAAGTGAATTCAGTTTAAAATTCCTCATTCCTGTTCAAAACGGTGAAACGTCCAGGTGGTCAAATACATTTAAGGACTGCATTTAAAAGTGTCATCATTCATCCAAACCTGAACTCTACAACAAGATTTCTGACCACGTACGAAGTCTTTCATCAGATGTGACTGTTGTTGGCTTGAACCGATTTGAAATTTCTGTTTTTGCACATTAGATTTACTACAACGCTGCATGAGGTCAAACTGTTATTTCTATTTGCTGCGTGTGAGAGTGGAAATCTATTCCTCCTCCTCTACAAAGAGGAATTGTGATCATGTTACTCCCGTGTTTGCCCTAAATGGCCTAATTTAGTTTAATTACTTGTTTATTTCCTTTTAAAAAAAGAACAAAAGCAATGCTGCACTGAGTGGAATTCTGCTAAATGTGTTTAATTTGTTGTTTTGTAAAATAAAAATTAAAGAATGCAGTTTTTTTTTAATGATTGCACTGCAGAGCTGTTCTGTTTTCAAACGTTGGATTTATCTGAATAACTCTGAAGCTGTGTTGAGTCAAAAGATGACATATTGGGCCTGAGACAGAGCATAACTTTTAAAGATGCACGCCATCTAAACGGGGCTGCCGTGTAATTTATCACATGTTTCAACGCCACAAAGTGCAGTGTTTGCTCTAATTCAGCTGGAGCGATCGCACACAGCTGGGGGAGATTGTAATACAAGGGACATTCATTATGTGGCCATATTGCTCACCACCTGCTTCCAAATAATAGTAAAAAAAAAAACAAAACAAGCTATAGCGCACATGTCCATGAAAGCATCCGAGGAGCAAAACTGAAGTTAAAACGTTATTGTTCCCCCACAGGACACATAAAAAGTGTGTTCCTCCAGTGATCATGAAGAAATCCAAACTGTGTTCTGACTGCAGAGAGATGAAAGCCCACATCTGTAGTACCTTGAGAAGCATCATTAGCTGCTCCAGCTGCACCATGAGTTCCCTGCGACTCTCCTGCAGAGTAGACATTCTTTGTTCAAGCTCATCTTTGCGTTGCCTGACGGAGGAAACAAGTCGTGATGAAACCACAGCGTCAACGCGTTTCTCGAGCAGTTTGAGCAAACCTGTCGGCAGAGGCTACCTGAGAAGTCGAAGCTCGGCGAGCAGGGTGGGGTTCTGCTGACCTCTGTCAGGAGGCGGCTGGGAGGCCTCCTCGTGCTGAAGGCGCAGTCGCTGGATTTCCTGCAGGATTTCTCTGAGCACAGACACATGCACACTCGAATAAACTGTGTTTCTGTCACGTTTTGTACACATGAGCCAACAAAAACACTGAGAATCTGCATTTTCTGCTGATTTGCTGCAACCTCCCAGATGATCTTAGGCTCTGTTCAAGTCTAAACTGCATTCTTTGGCCACATGGGGGCAGCAGAAACAAGCTGTTTGTCGCTGTGGTTATTTACAGCAGATGCAAGTTTGTGTCCACAGAATGAATGTTTTCTATCAGCTGCTGATGCTCCTCTATGTTCACAGCTAAACCACCAGGGCGACAAAAACGCTACGATACTGGTGAACACGGACCTAAACTGTAACGTCGGGGGTCTAAAAATACAACACAGTGAGCTGAAAGATGGTACACGGGAGGCTGTTTGACTCGTCACAGCAGAGAGAGCTCATTAGTCACTAATCACATCGATGACGGATCAGTTCTACTCCAGCGTCCCAGCGCGCCGCCACGGCCGGCCAGAATTCACAGCTGCAGGACTCTGGAACTGAAGTAGCCTAAACTGAATCCAGCTAGTTTCTCCTGCTGTGCCAGAGTTCAATTGCAAAAAAACAGAATCACAAACCTTCAGGAAACCCACTTTTCCATCGTCTACCTGAGACAATATCATTAAACTGTAAGTTATCTCTGTTTTTGTCGTTTCTGCTGAGTCAGATCCACTCAGCTTCAGTTTGACTGATATTATCTCAAGCAAACAACAATAAAATAAGTTTACAAAAATGGAGTCATCTGTTGATTTGCAAATGAACTCTTCATACGTCAGTCGACAGAGGGGTCAGGAGGGTTGGATGCACTGTTAATATTACAATATTGGTTACTGCTGCTTTAAAACCTTCCTGCTTCTGATGCAACTTTTGATTTTTTATTTATTTTTATTCCCTGCATTGTATTTGTTGAGCTCATTTTGGTATTTTTACATTTAAATTTTATTCTTATTCCATTCAATGTGTATATTCTAAACTGGTTCTACTGTTTATTTTGCCTTTATATGCACAATTATCTAACTTTACATTGTTTTTTTACAGGTTATTCTATTTATATACTTAGTGTGTTCGTACCGCTCTATTCTATGCTGTATAATATTGTAAATATTCATCTTGTACTGCTTCTTTTGCACTTCTTTAGTTGCTAAATGCTGTCCTGTGTGATGACCACACAGCTGAATCTGATTTCATCTTTGAAGTTTGCTCAGCTGCTTGAAATAAAAATAATAAAACGATAGAAGAAAGCAAAGTAAATGACTGAAAACACAGAAAGTAGGCGGGAGCTGCTGTAACTGGCTGCCACGCTCACAGCGCCACCTTCCTATTCTGTTCTAAGTTTGCTCATGCTGTCAGCCCAAGGACCCCTTCATTCTAAAGGTCTTGTTATAAAGTTTGAAAAAATACAAGTGAAGGGACAACAGAAGTAAAAAAACAAAGTATGACCAAAGCAGCCGTCCCTGACCTGTTTTTGCTCTCGAGCTCGGCAATGAGCTGCCTCTGCTGTTTGTTGGCATCCAGAGAGCAGGGGAGGTCTGTGGGGACCCTCTGCTGTTGAGCCTGTTGGCGAAACCGAGCAGGAGACATCACGTGAACTGGCTCTACCTCGGGATGATGTCATCCGCCGCGTTATCTCGTATCTCACAAGAGGGAACAAAGCAGTTAAGTCGCCAGCCATCCATCAAGTCCCGACCAGAGCATGAACAGTTACACAAGTCTGGTTAGAAATGATCACCGCCTCGGCAGTAAAAAAAAAAAAACCCTCATGAAGTGGAGTAGCGGCATACGTTAAATCCTCTTCTCATCAAGGACAGATTTTTTGGGACTGGACAGCTATGAAAGATGCCATGATGTTGTGTGCAATAAATGTCTCATATATTTATATATATATTTATATATCTCACCGCAGCATCAGCAGCCAGTCTAGCAGCATAGCGGGCGATGAGACTGTGCTCTTCATCTTGATGGTTACTGCTCTCCAGCAAACTGATCAAGAGGAAAATCGAGATGGGAGTCACAACATGACACAATTAATAATGCACAGCTATGCAGATACAAAATATGCACCAGAAATGCAAAAAATAAATAAAACGTGTTTGAGAGTCAGATTAGTTATTTGGCACATCATGCTAATCTATGCATATAAAAACCACAAAAAAAAGCATAAATGAAGTTATTATGTAAATGTGGAGGCGATCATTTGTATTTTAAAGCTAATCTGATCCAAAGCAGCAGAAAATATGAGTCTGTATTTGCACGCACACACAGTAAATGCATTCACACAGGGAGAAACGAGGTGGCTGCTCATATAATCTGATAAAACAGACACACATCGTCATACTGCAGTCAGCACACTTACACACAGCTCGAGCACTATCAAGGAAGAGAGAATATGTCATAAACCCAGTGATAAATTAGAAAAAACAACATCTAGCTGCTCTGAAAGACCAAATCCATGGAAGAGAATACTTCATAAGGAAGCACTTTGTCCCAATTTGTCTCGTTTTCTTTCATAAATTTCAGTCAAAACAATTCACAGACATTGCACGATTCTCAAAGTGTTAAACTCATTACTCAAGAGCCATGTGTGCAGCAGCTACAAGGTCTTTCAAGGACTCAAAAATGGAAAAAAAACATTCTTTCACCTCAGAATGAAATCTAATCTGGCCTACGCTGTTCACTTGGCAGAAACAAACTCTAATTCCCATTTTGGACACAAATCAGTCAGAAACGCTAATTGCTGCTGAGCAACAACAAAGCTGAAGGTCGAGGAGGCCAGTCTGCAAAACCGTCCGACAGCATGCGGCGTTAGGACCGTAACACATTCACGGTTAGACGAGGTTAGAGGGGGGGAGAGAAAAGGCCGTGAGGCGGCGGTTCAGCAGAGCACACAGTGTCCACCGGCGGACACGGCAGCACACCAACTAACCATGTTCTGGGCTTGTTTTGGAGCATATTCACATAGAGGCCAATGAGAACATGTTCGTCGGCAAGTCTATCGGCAACATCGAGGTTGTAGTTCAACCTGGAACAGTGGATGAGTTTCACAAAACACAAAACGTTACACAAGGTGACAGAAGAGACGCAGGAGGGTGAGGGAGGGAGTAGGGGAGAGGAGGCGACAAAGGAGGAGGAGGAGGAGGAGGAGAAGGGCTGAAAAGCAGCCATTCATGGGTGACTAGAGAGAAACAAGGCCATATTATGTTTGGGAGAGACACCGCTGATGAAGGCTAGGAGCACGACTGAGGGCATGCCCAGCAAAAAAAAACCATACACAACAAAGAAAACCATCAGCTACATACTGTTTACATTCTACAGCCATCAATCACTCAGTGCTCTATCATTAAAATGACTGAAAGAACATTATTCATAGGTTAAACAATCTGCCCTCCAGATATGTGGAGCATGCACGGCCCTGTTTGATGTCGCTTCTGTATTTATAGCAGCCATGCTGATCATGAAGAACCACAACACAGGCGGAGGAGAGTCAGCGCAGTCATAACAGAAACCCGGTCGTGTCAGGCCCGTTATGGAGCTACTTTCAATACCAGGTTCTTTAGTTTAGCTTGTTTCCTAACTAGACGATATAGTTGGAAATTAAAGGAGCAGACACCTAGCTGATAAAGATGGCTACTGTATGTGTAATAAGTTAATTAAGTTTAGCAGAGTTATTACTAAATACGAAGCAGACTTACAAAAGCTATACGTTTGCAGCTCATTTTCAACAATGATGTCACCATAGAAAATCTGTCACGACTGCTACAGGTGATGTGCACCAGTTTGGTAGGAATGCTAAACTATGAGTAACCACGAGGGGCTTTAGTGCCAAAGTGGGACGAAACACATTTACTAGTAAGAAAAATTCAGTCATTATATGCATCCAAAGATGTTCCAACACTGTCCAGAGATAGAAACAGCTGCTCTGTGATGACTTATTTCAGTTTTAATTTCCTTTTGCTGAGTGCCAAAGCGATTCCAGGTTTGTCTTGTTGAAGAGTTTACATCATCAGGAACTAGAGATGCTTCTGAGGACCGTGGGGTAGAAACAGATGCTTGGTGGTGGTTCAATAAGGTTTTATTTCACTGTACCGTACCGACCAGTTGAGTTTCCATGTGGCTTGAGGTCGCGCTGTCCGCCATCTTGAATTGAACTACCTGTGATATAACACTCAGTAATTCCTGTGGCTCGGTCCAGTTAAATTTTCACGCCAAAAACCATCATGGGCCAAACATCAAAGTGGCATCGTGACATTACCAGTGGGCTGTTGGTTGGAGCACTTTGACACCAACTAGTCGACCACAAACAGAAAAACATCAAACTCAAATTTTTTCTTGGTTTGGCCCACTTTGGCACTGAACCCCTCACTTCAGGTTACAAGTTTGCTATTAGAGGTGAACATGTCAGTTTATGTTCTGCATGTCTTTAGACTGTGGGAGGAAACCTATGTAGGCTCAGAGAATCACCGCTGCTCGCTGTGAGGCAACGATGCAAACACTGCAGAGCCATGAAAGCACTTGAAAAGAATCTGGGGCAAAGTTGCGCATGAAACTCTCCACGAGTCGACTGCAGGTTTATCACTAATCTAATTTGGAAATACAGTTGGAACCAGAAGCTGCATAAAAAGAACCTTTTTTTCTTTCTCACTGTCTGACATTAAATCAGACTAAACTTTTCCTGTTTCAGGTCAGTCAGGATCACCAACATTATTTCTATTTGCTAAACACCAGAATAATGAGAGAGAGAATTTCTTTATTACTTTCTTCAAAGTCAGAAGTTTCCATAAATTCACATGTGCACACACAGAAATAATGTTGGTCATCCTGACTGACCTAAAACAGGAAAAGTTTAGTCAGATAGTTCTGGTTTCAGCTGTATAATTTGGTTTCTGGTTTCTGCAAATTTGTGGTAACATTGCTAAAGGTTAACCCTTTGTGTTTGCCTAAGGGTGCACATACTAGTAAACATTACGGAGCCAGTGTGCAATTTGGCTGCTGATGAATATTCTCAGAAACGGTTTATCCAGTTAAAATTCATTGTAATTAAAATTGTCACTCCACCAGCTTTACTATTGAGACGGACTGCTGGTCGGCTTGTTAAACTCACGTCCTCTGGAGAGAAAATGACTCGAGCAGAGAGAGGGCAGGACGTGCAGCATGTCAGTTCCCTGGTCTGAATAAAACCAGGGGGATTGTGAGGATGTATTAATAAGAAAACCCTACTGCAGAGCCAAACTGGCAGCTTTGTCACGTGGCCACTCGCGGTACTGCAACAAAAAATCTGCCGCAACCCAAAGAGCGCATCTGTTATTAAACTGTTCATTTATTATGACCTATTATCAGTGTTTAATTTATGCCCTGAACCACGTGGGGTATGTACAGGAAAGGCCAGCAGGGGGGGAAATGTAATGCAGAGGAGCTCATAATGCAAAACGTTTCGGGCTCATATGCCTAAATGCAAAAACGTTTTCATTCGAGAGAGCCGGTGCTGTCTGTGAGTCCAGTTCTCGACAGTTTATCCACAATCACGTGGCTGCATTCATACATCTAGTATGTTTTTCTGCTTGTTTGCAGTTGAGTGCTTGGTAGGATGTAGTCTGCTTGACTAAAAGATGGTCAAACCTTCTGTAGGGAGCCACTACGCCACTGTAGTCTATTGGTGATATAGAAATACTTTGAACATTGTGTTAAGTGCAGGAGTTTTGGAGCTTGACCCGTATTGTAGGTGAGGATATCTCAGCCTCTGCTGCACTGATGGATGCATTTGATTAAATCGTTGCAGTGGCCCTTTAACCGTCCATGTTTCTGAAAATAAAAAGTTTAGAAATGATAATCAAACAGTCTCTGCAGAAGCGACTTCGTCAGCTTTCACAGGACACATCTGCTGGGATTATGCAGCGCCTCAGCCCGCACAAACAGCGAGTGCCATGTCAAATACCCTGACGTGCTTATCAAGAGCAACCTAAGGACTCACTCATCACATCATCTGTATGTTTTTCTGTGTTATGAAAGGGAGTAGTGTTCCCTAAAGAAACGCATTCTTCTCTCAAGTGCAGGTGCAGAAGCGCTGCAGACGCTTCTCACTTGAAAAGCCACCGATAGTTTTTTATCTTTAACCGTAATAGCGACTGAAAAAGCAAGTTAATCCCACTTCATCCCACTATTTACATACATCGTAAACCACGTCGCTGGGAATTCATATGATTTAACTGCTGCAACTCCAGCACAGAGGGGGACTGACGGCAATATTCAACGCAGCTCATATTGTAAAACCGGCAGTTAGCGTTTCCCATTTCTGTGTATGAAAAGATTGTAATAGACACTCTAAACTAATGGCCAATGATCTTCATGATGCATGCTTCATCTAGCGTCTTTGAAAAAGCCCCACGAGTATGAAAACGTAAACCCCTCTATAGGACAAACCGGTTCGCTAATAGTTTCCTGGAGACGATAAGCACTCTAGTTTATGATATGATTATTATCTATATTAGTTCACGCATGCATTTGCACTAGAAAGGCGTTCCCATAAGCACACCTGTGTCACTTACCCTCTCCCTTTCAACAGATGTGGAGCAGCCCCAGTCAGGGGCTTTCTGTGCTCAACATCATTATTCTTGCTGTAAGGCAAGCCATTTACATTCAGCTCGAGAAAAACACACACACACAAAAAAACACAAACAGTGATACACAAATGTTGGCGTACACCAGCACGCACACTTGGGAAAATAAAGGCAAGAAAAATAAAGACAGTGCGGGTCACAGAGTCCGCAGGGCACAGGGCCTTTAGGGAGCGTGACCGACTGAAAAGATCAGTTGTAAAATCCAGGGCAGCCATTGTTAGCGCTGCCGTACTCACTTTTTGGTGGAGTAAGGGTTCCCTGATGTAGGCATGGAGTGGGAGAGTGAGTAGTCATTGGTGAGATTCACTGGTCTTGGTGGCCTGCAAGAGGAAACAAAAGGGGTTTTTGGGCGGCGTTTCTTTTTGACGATGTCTTTCTGTTCAGTCTTTCAGTCTTGTTTATTTCCATCGACTGTATAATCTTTGACTTTCCACTGACAGACAATAAAAAGTACAATATGTGTTGTTACGCATCATAAATTAAAACATGCAAAGAATGAACGAATGGCTGATCTGGTGAATCGACAAACACAGCAGGTGCTCAGAAAAAAAGAAAAGTTAACAAACGTGACCGTCAGTGTGGGACAAAAAAATACAAAAGGTTAAAATCTACAAAAATGTGTTAAATAATCAAAGCGAACTCACCACGTGTCTCTATTTTGAGGAAAGAACAAGAAAAGGAACAAATGCTTTGTTATAATCGGCTCCAGCGGCACAAGACGTAGAATAAACAACACGTAAAAGGTTCAAGACATTTGGCTAAATCACCAAAATGTAGAAATGGGCAGGATATTAATTTACAGCACGTATATCAGTATTGCCACACAGGCGGACTGATGAGAAACTGCAGAAATAAAATGCAAAAGATAATGTTTTAATACTGTTGAGTATTTTTTGACTGCAAATACCTAAAATTGTGTAATTCTTCTTTAATATATGCATCATTATCTGTCTATGAACGCTAATTTAAACAATTAATGTTGGACTCTAGTATTAAAACTACCACCAGACTTTCCATCAGAGATTTTTCGCTCTATTATCAGACAATTTAAATTTTAAAAAATTGCACAGACAAAACCAGAAGCAGGTTTCTCAGCACCAAAAGTGACTTAATGTCCCACTAGTCTTAAACTACAGCGCTTATTCGTTGACTAGAGTTTGAAATATTCACCAGACAACACAAAACATTGCGAGACGAGCAAGAAGGAAGCAGCAGTGTTGCCGATTACAATCATTCCCAAGGCTATAATTAAGCATCATTGATCAGTTGACCCAAGAGATTGACTGGAATCACTTCAGACTTAGAGGCAGCTACAGGATCATTATCAGCTGAGGGATGAAGTCGAGCATTTCAGAAAACAACACAACGCTCCCGACGAACTTACACAATGTGAGCTAGGTTGAGAGGTTTCTCTGGCATTTCGGAAAACGTGGGGTAAGGAGGCTCTCTGCTGGACGCGCAGCTCAGCGACTTGCTGAGGGCGTGGGACAACTTCTTAGCGGGAGATTTCTGGGAGAGAGAAAAACACACACACAGGAGATTGTGAGGACGCTGAATTCAAATCACGTGCCGTCGGTACGGTAACGCTGTCACCTGCATTCAGCATCCTCACGCCGTAGTGAAGCGGAACAAAAATAGCCACAATGACTGGTCCAGTGCAGACACACCTCCCTGAGCCCACCCCTCTCCTCCTCGTCCTCCTCCTCCTCCTCCCATCTCCTTCCCTTACCCATGACGTATACTCCTTCATTTGGTGCTGGTTGCTATGGGAACCGCTGGCATGCCCCCTCCAGAAGCAGTCCTGACAGAGCTGGTAATTATGACATTGCTGGCAGCGGTAGCGGAAGCCCATCATACTCTCAGTATGGCAGTAGGAGCACTCGACCGGGTGAAAGACTGCAGGGAGGAGAGGAGGGGCCAGACACACACACACACACACACACACACACACACAAACACACACACAGATGCACAAACACATGCACACAAACAGATGTGACTGTAAAACCAGATATTTTGCACAGTGCAGGATTAATTTCCATTAATTTAAAGACAGATGCGAGGCGGATATCGAGTCTGACAACGTTTCAAACACACACAGTGCAGCAGCGCATCGAGCTGCATACGTGTGCACATGTCTCTCTCTTGTTTTTTTTCATTGTGCTCACATGGAGGTGGCTTGTGATGACGAGTGAATCACCGATACGCACAAACATGCACAATCGGTCCCTATGGGTCATCTCCACTAGAGGTGTCTTCACGGTGTGTGTGTGTGTCTGCTTGACTGATGATGTGAACTTGACATCCTCCCAGCCCTGCATAGCTTCCCCGTTGCACATTCGGCGTCCTTACCGTTCTCCACGTTGGCGAGCCGATGCATGAGCGGTAACCACACCAGACACTGAGGGGGCGGGTCTGACATCAACGTATCGAGGAATGTGTTGAGGGAGACCTTTTTCTATTGACGTACAGTGCAGTGGAGAGTGAGATTCACACACAACGTCAATGCTAACACAATCGCTGAAGACTCGCTGATATCACGCGGTTCACCTGCTGCGTGAAGCACGTTCTCACGGCCTGTTCGGTGTAACCAAACGAAGGCCCCTCGAAAACCGCCATGGGTAGCTTGAGAACCTCCCTCAGAAACTGGTCAAACTGCGAGTACACCATTATCCCGGCGGAATCGGATATCTGTGAAAAAATATCTGGAAACAAAGCGAGGGGGGGGAGAGACGTTATACAAATTAATCAAACTAATTGTCAGTTGCCAGCACAGTCGGCTAATTACAGCATTACACAATACAATTATCCCACTTATTTGGGAAAACAAATCAAAGCGAAGCAGTTATTCAGATCAGTTGTAACTGTACGACCAGCCCTCCTCTTTCTCCCTCACAAGCTGCTGCTCCAACAGATTTAGGGTGTTATGTAATAAACCCTAACCTTCACATAATGACTTCTCTCAGCCATGAAGAGGCCTGCGCTGCTGTTTTGTTTTTAAAAATAGAAATAGAAAATAAAGACGGCAATAAGTTTGAATTAGAAATCCCGAAGCAAAAAACACTATTATTATTAATAATAAACTACAACTTTGTAACCGTACAAAGACGACTTGCTGATTTATTGCAGGTAAAACAGGTGGTTATCGTTTCATTTTTCACGATTAAAAGATAAAAAAGACTTGTTGTGTTTCTTACATCTTAATTTATCCAGAATTTTGCCTCCACAGATGGTTGCCAGGGCCAACTTCCCAACAAAGACAGATACCTTGCCGTGGCCCTCCCTAAAAGGAAAAACAGAAACACATTATGGTAGGTTTAAACGGAGCTGCAAAAACACATGTAGTGTTCCTTGTACAATCTTATGAGCTGCAACTTGCAAAAGAATGACCCTCGTCTTTTACCTTCACCAGAAACGTTCCCTCCACACCCGCATGCTGTGACATTATTCAGGTAAATAGTCGGTATTTTCCCTCCACGCTGACATTTCACACCACATTAGCTCACGTCAAAACCTCACACGTGAAAGTACGCGACCGGTTCTCGCGTGACTCACGGGTCGTAGGCAGCCAGCAGGAAGTTGAGCAGCAGGCCGATGGACTGCTCCACGTTGATCTGGTGGGTGGTGGGCATGCGCTTGTTCAGCTGGTAGAAGACGGTGGACAGCACCACTTCCAGACGCGCCACGGAGAGCTCAGCGTTGAGGTCCATGGTGTTGAGGCCGTTCTCTCGGAAAGCCTCGATGACGTTCCAAATGTCGACCAGATGCACTGTGAACGGGAGAACGCAGCGTCACCGTTTTGATATCTTACATTAGCCGAGAGGTTGCAATTAAATGTGTGCGTGTGCTCACGGTTGCATTTCTTCTGCACAAATCTGAGCTTGCAGGCTGTTCTGTACGTCGACAGTCGAATGGAATCCAAATCCTGAGCCCCTGAGGAAGATTAGTTGACATCAAAAAAGGAAATGTTAGCTGACAGACACCTGGAACTCTGGAACTAGAGTGTAAAGCGTTAAATATTGCTTAACCCTCCTGTTATCTTTCAATTATCATTCAATGTTTAACATCTCTAAATAAGTCATTGACAAAATTGTGTCAGCTGTATTTAAAGGGCTATTTACACATAAACTTGGGAAACAGCTTTTTCTGGAGGTTTAAACTGCTGGGGTCAAATTGAACCCAAAGAAAAAAAGATGTCAGTGAATTTGAATGTACCGTAATTTCCAGACTATTGAGCGCACCTGAAAATAAGCCGCAGCCACTAACTTTAAAAAGAAAACTAATTTTGTACGTATACAGGCCGCACTTGTCTACAAGCTGCAGGTTGTAACGTGAGATATTTATACAGAAACATGTTTTAAACTTTTAATTAAAAACGTACCGGTAACGTACACAAATACGTAAATGCTTTTTTTCGAACAGTGCCTGTAACTATAAAAAATACAGAACCAGGAAAAGTCACTGATCGCTATCTTCATCTTCCTCCTGCACTAAAACCACTAAAGTCGTCTTCTTCAGTGTCGGAGCTGAACGGCCTCAGAATCACTTCGTCACTTTGGTAAAAATCCATAAATTAGCCGCATCATTGTTTAAGCCGCAGTGTTCAAAGCGTGTGAATAAAGTAGCGGCTTATAGTCCAGAAATTACGGTAATAGGAGGGTTAAATAAATAAATAAATACGCCAATATGAGGAAATGCTGAGAGAATATATCTAATGTTATCAACAATATTTTATAAAAATTTTGTTTTGTTTCTTACTGTAAATCATTTTTATTTTTCACTCCAGTAACTTTATTCATTTTGTCACTGAATTAAAGTCTGTTTAATTCACAATCGACCATCTGTTAGCATATTTAAGCCCAATGCTAATCCTAAATCGACTTAGTGCATAAAATGGAAAGTGCAAAGGCCTCGACATAATATTAAACTAAATTAGGGATAAGGGACATTTTAAAGCTGTAACTCCTGGATGACTCAGCTCAGTGTTGTTCCTCGTAGTCAGACAGGTTACCATCAGCAGGTTTAGCTGTTATACGGATGGAACAACCTCAATGGAATAAAAATGAGCGTAAATACACAATAATGATCTGCACTCCCGATAATGTGCATGCGTGCCGTCACTGCAGGCCGCTCAAAATCAATCTGGGAGACACTCGATCTTCATGATATTAGCTTTACAAGAAACTTACAGAAGGAGAATTTTGTCATTTTTTTATGGTCGGCGTGTAAACCGGTCCAGCATAGATCACGCTGAGCCGCGGCCCCGAGCACTTACTCATCTCGACAAACAGTTGCCTTCTATCTGCCATGTTGTCGCCGCTCTGCCCGCAGTCCTCAATCATTCTGGTCAAGAGGAGAGAAAGTCACGTCAGAGCCTGTGCGCATCAGCGTTTGGCACTTACAGTTTCAATTATGGCAGCGTTTAGTCACTGAGCACGCACTTCACGAGGCTTTATTGTGTATGAATTAACCACCGAGCTGAACTGTGTCCCTCAGATTACTGCGCATGTTTCAGATCCTCACATAGCATGTTGTGATAGCATTCTGTCAGCTTGGCACGATGCAACTCGGCATGTGTCACTTCGCTGTAAACAATGCATCAATACTGGCAATTAATAGAGTCTGTTCTTGCTCGGCATATGCAGAATTTACAATGAGAACAGTCGAAATGCACAGTGACTCCCTGAGCAGTGAGTCAGCGGCAGACAAAAGCAGCTTCTCGCTTCTAGTCGTCTCATCTGGGCTCCGCGAGTCGGCTGAAAGTGCTGCAACTTTTCCCCAGGCAACTTGCAGAAATGCTCTTAGATTTGCACTTTTGCTAAGATTCAAGCTAAAGCTG